ACACTGGACCCAATGGACTTCACAGACCTATTCAGAACATTCCATCCCAAAGCAACGGAATACACATTCTTCTCTAGTGCCCATGGAATATTCTCCAGAATTGATCACATCCTAGGTCATAAATCAGGTCTCAACCGGTACTAAAAGATTGGGATCATTCCCTGCCTATTTTCAGACCACAATGCTTTGAAACTAGAACTCAATCACAAGAGGAAAGTTGGAAAGAACTCAAATATATGGAGGCTAAAGAGCATCCTACTGAAGAATGAATGGGTCAACCAGGAAATTAAAGAAGAATTTTAAAAATTCATGGAAACCAATGAAAATGAAAACATAACGATTCAAAATCTTTGGGATGTAGCAAAGGCAGTCCTACAAGGAAAGTATATAGCAATACAAGCCTTTCTCAAGAAACAAGAAAGGTCTCAAGTACACAACCTAACCCTACACCTAAAGGAGCTGGAGAAGGAACAGCAAATAAAGCCTAAACCCAGCAGGAGAAGAGAAATAATAAACATCAGAGCAGAAATCAATGAAATAGAAACTAAAAGAACAGTAGAACAGATCAACGAAACAAGGAGCTGGTTCTTTGAAAGAATTAACAAGATTGATTAATCCCTGGCCAGACTTAGCAAAAAGAAAAGAGAAATCAACAAAATTATGAATGAGAGAGGAGAGATCACAACCAACATCAAAGAAATACAAACAATTATAAGAACATATTATGAGCAACTCTATGCCAGCAAATTAGATAACCTGGAAGAAATGGATGCATTCCTAGAGATGTATCAACTACCAAAACTGAACCAGGAAGAAATAGAAAACCTGAACAGACCTACAACCACTAAGGAAATTGAAGCAGTCATCAAAAATCTCCCAAAACACAAAAGCCCAGGGCCAGATGGCTTCCCAGGGGAATTCTACCAAACATTTAAAGAAGAATTAATACCTTTTCTTCTGAAACTGTTCCAAAAAATAGAAATGGAAGGAAAACTTCCAAACTCATTTTATGAGGCCAGCATTACCTTGATCCCAAAACCAGACAAAGAGACAAAGACCCCATCAAAAAGGAGAATTACAGACCAATATCCCTGATGAACATGGATGCAAAAATGCTCACCAAAATACTAGCCAATAGGATCCAACAGTACATTAAAAGGATTATTCACCACGACCAACTGGGATTTATCCCTGGGCTGCAAGGTTGGTTCAACATCCGCAAATCAATCAACGTGATACAATACATTAACAAAAGAAAGAACAAAAATCATATGATCCTCTCAATAGATGCAGAAAAAGCATTTGACAAAGTACAGCATCCTTTCTTGATCAAAACTCTTCAGAGTAGAGGCACTGAAGGTACATACCTCAATATCATAAAAGCCATCTATGAAAAACCTACAGCGAATATCATTCTCAATGGGGAAAAACTGAGAGCTTTCCCCCTAAGGTCAGGAGCATGGCAGGGATGTCCACTATCACCACTGCTATTCAACATAGTATTGGAAGTCCCAGCCACAGCAATCAGACAACAAAAAGAAATCAAAGGCATCCAAATCGGCAGAGAAGAAGTCAAACTCTCACTCTTTGCAGATGATAGGATACTTTATGTGGAAAACCCCAAAGACTCCACCCCAAAACTGCTAGAACTCATACAGGAATTCAGTAAAGTGGCAGGATATAAAATCAATGCACAGAAGTCAGTGGCATTCCTATACACCAACAACAAGACAGAAGAAAGACAAATTAAGGAATCGATCCCATTTACAACTGCACCCAAAACCATAAGATAACTAGGAATAAATCTAACCAAAGAGGCAAAGGATCGGTACTCAGAAAACTAGAAAATACTCATGAAAGAAATTGAGGAAGACACAAAGAAATGGAAAAACGTTCCATGATCATGGATTGGAAGAACAAATATTGTGAAGATGTCAATGCTACCTAGAGCAATCTACACATTCAATGCAATCCCCATCCAAATACCATCCACTTTTTTCAAAGAAATGGAACAAATAATCCTAAAATTTGTATGGAACCAGAAAAGACCCCAAATAGCCAGAGGAATGTTGAAAAAGAAAAGCAAAGCTGGTGGCATCACAATTCCAGACTTCCAGCTCTATTACAAAGCTGTCATCATCCAGACAGTATGGTACTGGCACAAAAACAGGCACATAGATCAATGGAACAGAGTAGAGAGCCCAGAAATGGACCCTCAACTCTATGGTCAACTAATCTTCAACAAAGCAGGAAAGAATGTCCAATGGAAAAAAGACAGTCTCTTCAGGAAATGGTGTTGGGAAACTTGGACAGCCACATGCAGAAGAATGAAACTGAACCATTTCCTTACACCACACACAAAAATAGACTCAAAATGGTTGAAAGACCTAAATGTGAGACAGGAGTCCATCAAAATCCTCAAGGAGAACACAGGCAGCAACCTCTTCGACCTCAGCCGCAGCAACTTCTTCCTAGAAACATCGCCAAAGGCAAGGGAAGGAAGGGCAAATATGAACTATTGGGACTTCATCAAGATAAAAAACTTTTGCAAAGCAAAGGAAACAGTCAACAAAACCAAAAGACAACTGACCAAATGGGAGAAGATATTTGCAAATGACTTATCAGATAAAGGGCTAGTATCCAAAATCTATAAAGGACTCATCAAACTCAACACCCAAAGAACAAAGAATCCAATCAAGAAATGGGCAGAAGACATGAACAGACATTTTTCCAAAGAAGACATCCAAACGGCCAACAGACACATGAAAAAGTGCTCAATATCGCTCGGCATCAGGGAAATCCAAATCAAAATCTCAATGAGATACCACCTCACACCAGTCAGAATGGCTAAAATTAACAAGTCAGGAAACAACAGATGTTGGCGGGGATGCGGAGAAAGGGGAACCCTCCTACATTGCTGGTGGGAATGCAAGCTGGTGCAGTCGCTCTGGAAAACAGTATGGAGGTTCCTCAGAAAGTTGAAAATGGATGCATTCCTAGAGATGTAAGTTGAAAATAGATGTAAGTTGAAAATAAAAGATGTTAATAAATAAATAAAATAAAATAAATAAATAATAAATAAATAAATAAATAAAAAGATGTAAGTTGAAAACAGAGAATTTATTTTGAAAATAATAAATCCAGCAATTGCACTGCTTGGTATACACCCCAAAGATACAAAAGTAGGGATCCAAAAGGGTACATGGACCCCGATGTTTATAGCAGCAATGTCCACAATAGCCAAACTGTGGAAAGAGCCAAGATGTCCATGGACAGATGAATGGCTAAAGAAGATGTGGTATATATATATACAATGGAATATTATGCAGCCATCAAAAGGAATGAGATCTTGCCATTTGCAACGACGTGGATGGAACTGGAGGGTATTATACTGAGCGAAATAAGTCAGTCAGAGAAAGACATGTATCATATGACCTCACTGATATGAGGAATTCTTAATCTCAGGAAACAAACTGAGGGTTGCTGGAGTGGGGGGTGTGGGGGAGGGATGGGCTGACTGGGTGATGGACATGGGGAGGGTATGTGCTCTGGTAAGCGCTGTGAATTGTGCAAGACTGTTGAATCTCAGATCTGTACCTATGAAACAAATAATGCAATATATGTTTAGAAAAAAAAAAAAGAAGATAGGAGGGGAAGAATGAAGGGGGAAAATCGGAGGGGTAGATGAACCATGAGAGACTATGGACTCTGAAAAACAAACTGAGGGTTCTAGAGGGGAGGGGGGTGGGAGGATGGGTTAGCCTGGTGATGGGTATTGAAGAGGGCATCTTCTGCATGGAGCACTGGGTGTTTTGCACAAACAATGAATCATGGAACACTACATCTAAAACTAATGATGTAATGTATGGGGATTAACATAACAATAAAAAATTAAAATAAAATAGAAAATAAAACCATAATGATTAAAAAAAACATAATGATATATATATTACGTACCCATCAGAATGGCTAAGATTTAAAAAACTGACAATACTAAGTGTTCATGAATATACAGGGAGAAATTAGAACTTTCATACACTGCTGGTGGGAATGGAAGATGGTACTACTTTAGAAAACAATTTGGCAGTTTCATAACAAGGGAATATAGAGAGACATGAGACTTATGGGTGATAGATATGTTCACTGCCTGAATTATGGTTATGGTTTCATATGCATATACATATGTCAAAACTATCAAATTATACACTTCATATATGTGCAGTTTACCTAACTAAAGCTGTTGGGGGGAAAAATTTTCTATTATAGGAAAAAACATCTAAAACAGTGGCTGAGACACAGATGGAAAGGATATGAAACATGGGCGCCTGGGTGGCTCAGTCATTAAGCATCTGCCTTCGGCTCAGGTCATGATCCCTGGGTCCTGGGATCGAGCCCTGCATCCAGCTCCCTGCTCCGCGGGGAGCCTGCTTCTCCCTCTCTCACTCTCCCTGCTTGTGTTCCCTCTCTCACTGGGTCTCTCTCTGCCAAATAAATAAAAAATTAAAAAAAAAAAAAAGGATATGAAACAATACAAGATGAAGCTAGAGTACTGTGGTCTTTCACCTTAGAGCAATGAGAAGTAATAGCTAAGCTTTAAGCAAGGGGGTAACGTGATGAAACATGAATTTTTAAAGATTATGATAACTATGGTTGCAGTGTAGACCAAGATTCTGGGAGGTGGAATGACAGGGAAAACAGTCCTGAGGTTATTTCAGTATTGTAGGAGAAAAATAATGGTAACCTGACCTTGGGTGAAGGCACAGAAGAGAAGCGGAGTTAACAATACATCAGGTGTGTTGTTTGCCATTCCCATGACAAAACATAGAGTGGAAATTATAGCCCTTTGGCTGAGAGTATTCAACAGTTCTCTATTCTCATATAAAACATATTTCTGAGGTGAGTAGCTCATGAGTGTTGTGTGGTACAGCACTATACAAGATGGGCACATATTACTACAGTAATATACATACAAAGGCTTTCTACTTATACAATGGTCCTACCTTTACGATCCTGGCCAACTTGTACAGTTAGCGACTTGCAACTCATATAATTAGAGCAAGGCAACTTGGAATCCTCTGAAGCTGTTCCAGATGACTCAGTTAAGTCAAGGTCATCCATAAAATTAATTTGCTTTTTGACCTACAAATAAAAAATACTATTTCAAAATGTCCCCCAAATATTCATAAAATATACTAAGTGTAGAGAGATGATAAATACCCATCTTTTTATAAGAGCAAAAACATAGGTACTTTTTAAAAGAACTGATCTGTATCAAAACGACCTTTATCAATAATTAGTACTTCTGAAAAACTTTTTCACAATAAATGTCTATACAACAAAGGAAGATTTTCTGTTTTCACTATGCCCTTCCTAAAGTAATTTTTTACCATGGAATAATATTTCTAATAAATATTATTTATCAAAGTAATATAATAAAGCCAAAATTAAAAAAAAATAAATGAAATAGAATTATGCATATTTTTTTACCTCTTTCTTTTCATGAGATGTTTTCTTTGCAGGTCTAAAAAAAAAGACAATTCTTTTCAGGCAAGTATTAAATACTTAAAATACAAAGAATATCTAAATCATATCTAAACAATATTATTAATAATACTAACTAAGCATTAAATTTAGATCAAATGGACATAAAGCAAAGGAAAAGCATAATGTTACTTGCATTATTTGATACGAAGAAATATACCACATTTTTTGTTGTCATTTTCAATAAAAACAAGCTTTTATTGGCTCTAAAATCTACTGGGAAAGTGCAAGTTAGGTTCTTATATGAAAGAAACCCATTTTTAATAATCATGATACTAGTGCTTTGAGGATTTACTGTACAACTACTATGCATTATTATGAACCCCTTACACATCTTAAAAGTATTTTAAGCCTCACAACAATCTTATAAACATGGGTAATTATATTAGGCATTTTACACAGGAAGAAAATGAGGCACAGAAATAATTAACTTCCCCAAGCCCATACAGCTGGTCAGGAGTAGACCCAGAATTCAAATCCAGGATATGTGCCTTCAAAACGTGTGTTTTACAGTATGTGGTGAAGGTAATATTTAAGAGTTTCCAAGTAATATGACAGCAAATGAATCTACTATTATTCCATTTCTAGCTATAATTATAAATAATCTATGGATCTAACACACATTTTTTTAAAATAAGAAGACTCCATACCTAGGCAATATTGAAAATCTACTTTCCATAAACTAAAGATCTGCTTCTTCTGAAGAAGTTCATCAATGGCATTCATCTATTTATTCAACTGTTTATTCACAAATATATACTTACTGAGCACACAATATGTGTCAATGACACTGTTGGTACAGGAACCATGGCTTTTGTCATTTAGAACTTTATAATCTAAAAGTAATAATCTATGATAGATTAATAGTTTATTTTTCAATTATAAAGTCTTTCCCCTTTCCCCAGAATCGAAACAAATATTAACTTAATGCAACCAGATACTTCAAAGTCCCTAACAAAACCATAGCTATTCATGATTCTGTCAAAGGCACTGAATATCTAAAATCATCAAGGAATGATTAGTTCTACTCAGAATGGCCTAAGAGTTTGTATATTTACTATCATTTATATACTTTTAAGTCTATGAATGATACTCTCTGCACATTCAATTATATGAGAATACTCCACTGGGGAACCAATTCTGAATCAACAACTTCTTGCCAAGGGACCTGGGTGGCTCAGTTGTTAAGCATCTGCCTTTGGCTCAGGTCATGGTCCCAGGGTCCTGGGATCGAGCCCCGCATCGGGCTCCCTGTTCAGTGGGAGTCTGCTTTTCCCTCTCCCACTCCCCCTGCTTGTGTTTCCTCTCTCGCTATGTCTCTGTCTGTCAAATGAATAAAATCCAAACCCCCCCCCCCAAAACCAAAAAAACAACCTCTTGCCACAAAACTACATGAATAGGAATACTAAGGACAATTACTGTAATCTTTAAAAGATAATGTAATACAGGGGAGCCTAGGTGGCTCAGTCATTAAGCATCTGCCTTCGGCTCAGGTCATGGTCCCGGGGTCCTGGGATCGAGTCCCACATCAGGCTCCCTGCTCGGTGGGGAGCCTGCTTCTCCCTCTCCCTCTGCCTGCCACTCCCCTTGCTTGTGCATTCTCTCTCTCTGTGTCAAGCAAATAAAAAAATCTTAAAATAGGGGCGCCTGGGTGGCTTAGTCGTTAGGCGTCTGCCTTCGGCTCAGGTCATGATCCCGGGATCCTGGGATCGAGTCCCACATCGGGCTCCCTGCTGGCTGGCAGGGAGCCTGCTTCTCCCTCTCCCTCTGCCTCTGCCTGCCGCTCCCCCTGCTTGTACTCTCTGTCTGTCAAATAAAAAATAAAAAATCTTAAAACAAAAAAGATAATGTAATACAATCAATAAGCTTTCTAATATTTGGAAATGCAAACAAAATTAAATGACCATGTCTATCTCTATCGGATCATTTCCAGCAGCATACAAATGTACTCTAAAAGCTCCCATCTTAAAATTAAAAAAGAAAGAAAATTCCCTTGAATTCCACATTCTTTTTCAGTTATCATCCATTTCTCTATTACCTTTCCCCGTAAAAATTCTCTAAGGAGTTGTTTATACTTTTTCATTACAGTCCAGCTTCCATGGTGACTATTGAAACTGCTCCTTGTCAAAGTCACTTGTCCTCATCTTAACCTTTCAAGCAGTGTATCTGATATACTTGAGTATTTCTTGCCTTAGCCTGTACCTACACGACAGCGTTTTATTTCCATAAAAAGTAATCACTGCTAAACTTCCTTCAGAGGGAAACAAAGAATTTATAGATTTTACCTTACTTCATCCTGATCCATTTCACTTGAAGTGCTGTCATCATTCACTTGTACTGGACGAGAAGGTAGGGAATCCGCCTTCTCAAGCCCTGGTGTAATCACAGATACTTCTGATGTCCATTTTTCATTTTCATCTTTCCTTACTCCCTTCATATGCAAACCAGGATCACTACTTTAAAAAATCCAGTTAAAATATCCATTAAAAAGCCAATGTTTTCTAATAATTTTACTGGTAAAGAATAAAAACAATTTTTTTCTAAAATTCTGTTACCCATCTCAATGAACATTTATTAATTCACAGAACAGTTATGAAATCCAACCATATACAAGGAAATACACATCCCTTGCTTCAAAGACAGGTAAATATACAATTACAATACAATGTCATTTGTGGGGACAAAACTGCTATGGATCTCTTTGTAGGAGCTGTGGAATCAAGGACCATACACCAAGGACCTAGGAAAAGTCTTGCCTACCCATGCATCGGGTAACGGGCACACTCACTACATGTCCAGCTGTGGACCCAGCAATAGCCCATAAACTGGTTCCAGCCCCTTCCTCTCAACCACATCTGGGAGCCCCTGGAAAACACTGTCTTAGATAATCACCCATGGATGAGAGAGACTTTTTGGAAAACCAGATTTCCTGCAGAAAAGTTCCGGCACACCACCAGAGCAAAAAAAAATCAGGTTTGGACACATTGGAAAGGTAGTCATTAAAGGCTACTTCAAAAGCAAAGACAGCAATGCCAAACTTCAAAGAATATAAAAAGTCAAGGATATACGACACCAAATCGTCCAATAATTGATCTCAAAAACATGGAGATCTGTAATTTATCCAAAAAAAGAATTCAAAATAGCAGTTTTAAGGAAACTTAATGAGCTACAAGAAAACACAAAAAGCCAATTCAGGGGTGCCTGGGTGGCTCAGTCAGTTAAGTGTCTGACTCTTGATTCTGTCTCAGGTCATGATCTCAGGGTCATGAGATCCAGCTATGCATCCTGCTTACGCTCAGTGCAGAGTCTGCTTGTCCCTCTCCCTCTGCTATTCCCCCCACTCACACGCACGCTCTCTCTAAAATAAATAAATAAAATCTTTAAAAAAAAGCCAATTCAATAAAATGAGAAAAACACTATATGAATAAAACGAGAAGTTTAATAAAGCATTGGAAGGGCACCTGGGTGGCTCAGTCAGTTAAGTGTCTGACTCTTGATTTCGGCTCAGGTCATGATCTCAGGATCGTGGGATCGAGCCCTGGGTCTGCTTGAGATTCTCTCACCCTCTCTCTGTCCCTCCCCTGACTTGCTCTCTTTCTCTCTCTCTCAAATAAATAAATAAAATCTTTTTTTGAAAAAGAGCTGGAAATAGTAAAAAAGAATTAAACAAAAATTCTGGAGCTGAATGATATAGTGAATGAAATGCAAAAAAAAATAGAAATCACTGACACTAAAATGGATCAAAAAAAAATCTGTGAATTTAAAATTTTCAAATTTTAAAACTTTCAAATTATCCAATCAAGGAAGTGAAAGATATGTACACTAAAAACTACAAGACTTTGATAAAAGAAAGAGCAGAGACACAAATAGGAAGATATCTTAGTTTATGGATTGGAAAAATTAATATTACATATCCACATTATTCAAAGCCATCTACAGATTCAATGCAATCTCTGCCAAAATTCCAGTGATATTTCTCACAGAAATAGGAAAAACAATCCTTAAATTTGTATGGAACAGAAAAGACCCCAAACCGCCAAAGCAGTCCTGAGAAAGAACAACAAAGGTGGAAGCAACACACTTCCTGTTTCAAACTGTTACAAAGCTATAGTCACCAAAACAGTATATGGAACTTGCATCAAAACAAACACAAAGACCAATGAAACAGAATCAAGAACCCAAAAATAAACCCATTCATATAGTCAAGAACACTTAAAGAAGAAAAGATAATCTCTTGAATAAATGATGCTGAGAAAACTGGATATTCACATGCAAAAGAATGAAACTGGACCCCTAACTTACATCACTCACAAAAATTAACCCAAACTGATTAAAGACTTAAATGGACAACCTTAAGCCATAAAACTCCTACAAGAAAACAGGGAAAACACTCCCTGACATTGGTCTTGGCAATGATTTTAGATATGACATCCAAAGTACAAGCAACAAAAGCAAAAACAATGGAACAATGTTTCTCCACAGTAAAAGAAACAAGCAACACTCTAGTTCCATTTACGTCAAGTATAGGTTAAGGAAGGGAAAAATAAGATAAAAACAGAGAGGGAGGCAAACCAGAAGAGACTCTTAACTACAGGAAACAAACTGAGGGCTGCTGGAGGGGAAGTGGGTGGGAAGATGCTGTAACTGGGTGCTGGGCATCAGGGAGGGCACTTGTGATGAGCATTGGGTATTACATGCAAGTGATGAATCATTAAAGTCCAGCCCTGAAACTAATAATACAATATAAGTTAACTAACTTGAATTTAAATAAAATCTAAAAAACAAAAATAAACAAGTAACATAATGAAAAGGCAACCTACAGAATGGAAGAAAATATCTGCAAACCACATATCTGAAAAAAGGTTAATGTCTAAAAAATGTAAGGAATTCATACAATTCAACAGCAAAAAAACAAATAATTCAAATAAGAACTCAGCAAAGCACCTTAATAGACAGCTTTCCTCAGAAGATACTCAAATGGCCAACGGTACCAAAAAAGGGGCTCAACAACACTATTCAACAGAGAAATGCATATCAAAGCCACAATGATATATCTATCACCTCACGCCTGTTAAATGGCTTTCATCAAAAAGACAAGAGATAGCACTGGCAAAGATGTACAGAAAAGGGAATCCTTGCACACTGTTGTTATGGGACTGTAAATTGGTACACCCACTATGCAAAACACTGTGGAGGTTCCTCAAAAAACTAAAAATAGAACTATCATATGATGCAGTAATCCCATTTCTGGGAACATTTCTGATGGAAATGAAATCATCTCAAACAGGTATCTGCACCCCTGTTTACTGCAGCATTATTTACAACAGCCAAACAGGGAAGCAACCTAAGTGTCCATCAATGGATCCATGGGTTTAAAACATGTGGTATATATTTACAATGGAATATTTTAGCCACAAAAAAGAGGGAAACCTTGCCATTTGCAACAACATAAATGAACCTGGAGGGAATTATGCTAAATGAAATAAGTCACACAAAAAGACAAATACTGTATGATCTGACTTACATGTAGAAACTTAAAAAAAACAACAACAACAAATTTACATCCTGGTGCTTGCCAGGGGTAGGAGGCTGTGGGAAATGGGTAGATATTGGCCAAAGGATACAAACTTCCTGTTACAAGAGTAGTAAGGTCTGAGGGTCTAATGTACAGAATGGTGATTACAGTTAACAATACTGTATTATATATTTGAAAGTCGCTAAGAGAGTTGCTAAAAAAGAAATGATAATTATGTGAGATGGAGTTATTAACACTATTACCATTTTACTATATAAAAGTGTATTAAATTAATATAGGTATACCTTAGACTTACACAGTTATCTATCAATTATACCTCAATAAATCTGGAGAAAATTCAAAAATACTCATATGTCACTATATATATATCACTCAAAAATAGCAATAACCTGGTTAATTCTGTTTGAAAATAAAATGATTTGGGGGTGCCTGGGTGGCTCAGTCGGTTAAGTGTCTGCGTTCGGCTCAGGTCATAATCTCCAGGTCCTGGGATCTAGCCCTGCCTCAGGCTCCCCACTGAGCTTCTACCTCTCCCTCTGCCCCTCCCTCCTGCTCATGCACTCATTCTCGCTCTCTTTCTCTCTCTCTCTCTTACAAATAAATAAAATAAAAATTAATTTTTTTAAAGAAAATGATTTGGTAACTTTTGCATACTTTTAGCCTAGTATTTAATCCTAATATAAAAAGCTAGATTTACCAACAGAAAATTATAATTACTTTTTCATGGACTAAATGTATGCAAGAGAATATGAGCAGCATATAGCTACATAAATTTACAAAAGACTGAAATTTCCCACAGGAGATTATTAATTTAGGAATTGAACATGAGCCCCTAAGAGCACTAAAAACAAAAACAGAGCCAGCAATTATTGTTTTAAAACTGTTACACAGATAACTCTTCTAGTTAAAATTTAACATCCAAAAAAGAAGGATCTTCCTGAAGGCAATTATTAAACAATTCTTCTTAACCCAAATCTCAAAAATAAATCTATACAGAATATGAAATAGCTTTCATTTTGAACACAATTGATAGAAGCAACTTTTAAATAGAAAACATCTATAGATGTTAAAGTCACCTCAAACTTGGGGGGGGGACCCAAATATGAAGCCATGGGAACAAGAAGCCACCAAAACCAGTTTTAAATGTGTGCGACTGATCAATGCCCACTGGCCTCACTCACCAACCAAGCAGTGTCAGCTCCTCCCTTCTAAAAGAAAGCCAATAGGAGACAAAACCACTCCATACACATTCCTCGTGTGGCAACCAACCAACAAGAGTCTCACCCAAATTACCATGGTGTTTCAGATGATGACAAACCACTTAATTCTCTGAAAGTCCCCCAAACCTTCCACTCTACTCTTCCCAAAACCCTGTATAAGAATAGCAGACTGCTCTGTCAGAAAAGACTGTAAGTGACCAGCATAGGTCTATCTTACCAGTGGGCAATAAATTCCAACTTCATCTTTTTATTTCAGATACTGAGGGCTCATAATCCTTTGGCAAGAATTTTTAAAGTCCTATAATTTACCACCATATTTCATTTTCCTTAATAAAATATAAAGGAAGTTTGCTATTCCTCTGATCCATTTTACCATAATTAAAACTAACCTAAATACCAGTAAAACCAATAAATAGCAAGTAACCACAATATTGGGCCCCCCCAAAATAAAAAAATGCATACAACTGACAGATTAAATTGTCAGAATGGACCCATATCAAACTTTCTTTTTGTTTAAGCGAGAGTTAGTATGATGTTAAAAAACAATACATGCAGGTTAAACTCCATTCACTCAATAAACATTTGTTGAATAGAACTATATATGCTAGAACATTTTCTAGGCACTGAGGACATGGCGATGAACAGATAAAAATCCTACTCATGAGAAGTAAACACAATAACAATAAACTACACAGGCAAGATAGTACTAGAGGAGAAAAACTAAAGCAGAGAAATCAAATTTTGATGTGCTGTAGGGAAAGAGGTAATCAGGATAACCAAGAAAGGCCTTGCTAAGAAAGTAACTTTTAAGCAAAAAATTGAAGGGGGAAAAAAAAGGAAGGAGCAAGTAGCTAGCAAGACAGGAGGGTATTGGTGGGAAAAGCACTCCAGATAGAGTCAACAGCAAGTACAGAGGGATGCTCGAAGTGTTTATAGTGAGCGGGAAAAAAAAAGTGAGAAATTCAGTGTGGCTGGACAGCGTGAAAGGGACAGAAAATAGGAGGGAGGCAGTAAGGGATAGGGAGAGACCAAGATGAACAGATCATACAAGGCCTTGTAGGTGTTAGAAAGAACTTTGGCATGTACTCTGAGTGAAATAGGAGGCAATTAGGTTTTGAGCAGAGGAAGACATAATCTGACTTACGTTTTAATAGATCCACTGTGTTTAGAATTAATGGAAACAGAGAAAAGACAAAAGAACAAACAAGAAGACCAATTAGTTAATTATTACACTTATACACACAACAGATGATAGTGGCTTGGTCATGGAAGATGTGTTTGGTTCTGGATATATTCTGAAGGAAGACCTGACAAGATCTGTTGACAGTTTAGATGTGACATGTATGAAAAAGAAAAAGACATGAGTCAAAGATGATACCAAGTTTTCTGGCAGAGCAACTGGAAGAACTGTCATTAACTCAATTAGGAAAGACAAGAAGGGCAGATATAAGAAAGAATATCAGTAGTTCGATTTTGGACATGTTAAGATCATAATACTCAATAGCTATCCCAAAGAGCTATCAAATAGGCAGTTTGATATGTAGGTCTGGAATTATGCAGAGAGATTTGGGCTGGAGATATAAACCTGAAGATCATTAGAATATACAAGATAGTAAAAGTCAAGAGAAAGAAAATCAAGGACTAATGATTCCTGGAAGATGTCAATGTGTAAGTAAGAGGTGGGGGATGAGGAGAAAGAATCAAATCAGGCTGAGATGTACAGACTAGAAAGGCAGGGAGAAAACCAGGTGAGTGAGTGATACCCTGAAAGCTAAATGAAGACAGAATTTTGGAGAAGAGAGTTCTCCATTGGGTCAAATATTGCTGATAGGTCAAATAAAATGAGATCTAAGAAATTATGTTTAGATTTATTAAAGTGAAAATCAGTGGTAACCTTTGAAAAATCAATTCCGGGGTAGTGGGAGTGAAAATTACTAGAGAGAATTCAAGAATGAATAGGAGGTAAATCAGGATCAGTGAGTGTACATGGTTCTTTTAAGGATTTCATAGCTAAGAGGAATGATCATAGATGATTTAATTTTCTTGTTTAGTTCAATCCTTACACAAGGATGATGTAGTATTTCTGTAATATATTTTGTAATATAGTTTTTCAAATTACATACATGTATCACTAAATTTTTTTTAAAAAATGCCAGACTAAGGGGGCACCTGGGAGGCTCAGTTGGTTAAACCTCTTGGTTTTGGCTCAGGTCATAATCTCAGGGTTGTGGGATCGAGCCCCACATGGGGCTCTGCTCCCAGTGCCAAGTCCGCTTGTCCCTCTCTCCCACCACGCACTCTCTCTCTCTAATATAAATAAAATCTTAAAAAAAAAAAAAAGGCAGACCAAGGCATTAAATAATTCACAAAACAATAAAACCAAAAGAGTCCTTAAAATTTTTCTAGATATATAATATATATATAATATTATATAACCTGATTATCACTTTTTCTCATGCTTAGAAAGACCATAGAAAAACTATTAAGGGGGCGCCTGGGTGTCTCAGTTGGTTAAGCGACTGCCTTCGGCTCAGGTCATGATCCTGGAGTCCCGGGATCGAGTCCCACATCGGGCTCCCTGCTGAGCAGGGAGCCTGCTTCTGCCTCTGACCCTTCCCCCTCTCATGTGCTCTCTGTCTCTCATTCTCTCTGTCTCAAATAAATAAATAAATAAATCTTTAAAAAAAAAAAAACTATTAAGTTTCAACAGCAATATTTCATGCTTGATAAAAATCATCTGACTCCAGGATATATCCGAAATAATAAGTCATATTAAAATTCTATAAGAGGGGCGCCTGGGTAGCTCAGTTTTTAAGCATCTGCCTTCAGCTCAGGTCATGGTCTCAGGGTTCTGGGATCGAGCCCCACATCGGGCTCCCTGCTCGGTGGGAAGCCTGCTTCTCCCTCTCCCACTCCCCCTGCTTGTGTTCCCTCTCTCGCTGTCTCTCTCTCTCTGTCAAATAAATAAATAAAATCTTTAAAAAAAATTAAATTTAAAAAATTAAAAAAATAAAATTCTATAAGAGAAGTATAAGGGGTTTGGAATGCAGAAAATATTCCTATTTTGTAAAATGAATTTTCGTAAATTATATAATATGAAGTCACTGTTGAAAAATTTGGTGTGGTGCATATAAAAATACACTCTCTTTAAAAAGGAAGGTTAATAGCATGCATGCAAGGTCCCTTCAAAAGAAGATTCACTGCATTAGGAACATCTTGGTTTATAGCACAAGGATCATCAAATCAAATGTTTATATACAATATGGGACAAGCTGACATACGAAATCTCTTGGTAATATTCAGATCAATTTGAGGGTCCAACATTTGAACACTCAAGCTCAACGGAACTAAAACCAAAAACCTAATAGCTAGCAATTTTGTTGGTAATAAGATAGAGTGCCAGTGTAGCAGGTAACTTCCTTTTGCAACTCAGCAGATATTAAAAGCATTCTAAAATTTGCATAAGACATGACACCAAACCGAACACTTTAAATATACTTTGTTAAACAATCAGCACACTGTAGACCTAAACTCATTTTTTCAAATGGTCGCATATTACATTGTCTCATAGGGGTGACAACTTACTTCCTTACTGAAGGCTATTTAGACTATCTCCAACTTTTGGATATGAGAATGCTATAATAAATATCCTTAACATATCTGTCATATTTTATATATACAATAATGCACAATAAATGTCCTTAGAATGTGTTCGTGTGTGTGTGTGTGTGTGTGTGTTTACACAAGTCATGTTTTCCTATAGGATCTAGCCCTGGCAATGAAACATTGGAATAAAGGGACAGCATATGGGGCGCCTGTGTGACTCAGTCGTTAAGCGTCTGCCTTCGGCTCAGGTCATGATCCCAGGGTCCTGGGATCGAGCCCCGCATCGGGCTCCCTGCTCAGCGGGAAGCCTGCTTCTCCCTCTCCCACTCCCCCTGCTTGTGTTCCCTCTCTCGCTGTGTCTCTCTCTGTCAAGTAAAGAAATAAAATCTTTAAAAAAAATTAAAAAATAAACTTAAAAAAGGGACAGCATATTTAAAGTTTTTGAAACACACTGCTAACTCACCCTTCAGAAAGGAATTACCAATTTCATCTAACAACAGTGTATAGGAATGCCTTTTTCCTCACATTTGCTAACTTTGGTTATTATTTTTTTAATAAAATATTTATCACTATGACTGCAAAAAATGATATCTCGTTATTTGCATTTTTCTGATTCGCACCCAGGATGGACTAGCCTTACTAAAAATATAAAATTTGTTAATCATGAATGTTAGCTCCAACTAGAACTGGTTTTATAGGAAAATAATAATTACCTACTATTTAAATATGGCCATAGGCTTACCCATCAAAATCTTCCTTTTTCCCAACAGGAAAGAGGTGGTTTTCAGTTTTTCCACTCTCTCTTTGTTGAATTAGTCCAGCAGCAGCAGCAGCGACAGCATATATGTTTTCTAATACTGCCGTCTCATTACGTTGGTGTCTCTTCTTTTCTTCATTAATCTTTAATGGAAATTTGATACTAAGGATAATTGTTACTACATTATTCATTAAAAAGAAATTTTTTTCATTATAAATTTCTTAAAGGTTTTATTTATTTATTTATCAGAGAGAGAGCACAAGCAGGGGGAGGGAGGTACAGACGGAGAAGCAGGCTCCCCGCTGAGCAGGGAGCCTGATGCGGGACCCGATCCCAGGACCCTGGGATCATGACCTGAGCCAAAGGCAGACTCTTAAGGACTGAGCCACCCAGTCATCCCAGAACTTTTTTCATTAATTTTATCATTTGACTCTTAGTTTGTTGTAATTTTAATCGATAAAAATATTTTGTGTTTAACTTTATCATTATAAATAATTGCAATTTTTATAAGTTCTGCTTCATTTCCGTTTGAATAAAAACAGCAGAATTGGGACGCGTGGGTGGCTCAGTTGGTTAAGCGTCTGCCTTCGGCTCGGGTCTCATCCAGGGTCCTGGGATCGAGCCCCGCATCAGGCTCCTTGCTCAGCGGGAAGCCTGCTTCTCCCTCTGCCTGCCGCTCCTCCTGCTTGTGCTCTCTCTCTCTCTCTCTCTCGCTCTCTCTGACAAATAAATAAAATCTTTAAAAAATAATTAATTAATTAAAACAGCAGAATTTTCCAAAATTTGAAAAAGGGCTTTCTTAATTTTGTATTCATATCCACGCTTTGCTACCTAACATTCCCACCCCACCCCATCTGACCAGCAGATACAAAGAAATAAAAAGACAAAGACACAAAATTTGTCCTCGTCTGTCGTTACCACCTGGATTTTGCAAAAACAGCCAGATTTAAAGGATGTGACATTGTGGAGCTCCAGGAGCAAAGAGTTTTCCTCTTTCTGCACTGAGCTATTTTTTCGCCAATTGCCTTTTACAATTCTTTTTTCATTTGGATCCTAGGGTTATCAAAAAAGTGGCAGTGTTCATTAAAATATATGAACCAAAGTTCACCACAACACAAAAAGAACAGAGTGAAACTGATATTAGTGTAGAATTTTGGGAAATGAGTAATGCTCCCCAAATTCCACATTCATGGTTATCATAAACTTTTATAGCTAGAGGGTATAAAAGTAATTATCAACTTTAATCCCATTTTCCACTGATCAATGGGAGTAGAACCAAAAAAGGTTAAATGATTTGTCCAAAGTTCCTAAAGTGGCACTACCTAGCATCTTATGGCACCAAAAGACATGATACAATTCTTTAATGCTGAATCAGGTAAGTTATCAAACAAATTCATTAAATTAATCAGATACATTAAAAGTATGACACTGGCACAGTAATTTAATATCTTAATTGGGGACAAGGTGCTTAGCTACTTTTTCTTTTGAAGGAGGATATCTCTAGATTTTTGTCTATTTTTAAAACTCAATTCACCTCAAAAGTCCGTTTTCTCCCTTCGAGTTAAATACTGAGGGTTTCTGAAGGTTTATGCTACCTACATTATAAAAATCATACATGTCAAAATGTACCATATTTTATTAAACATAATATGAACGTTTGACTCAACAGAAACATGTGAGAATGGTGACAAAAAAAAAAAAAAAGTGGAGGGGGGCACCTGGGTGGCTCAGTCAGTTGGGCCTCTGACTCTTGATTTTGACTCAGCTCATGATCTCAGGGTTGTGGGATTGAGCCCCGCACCAGGCTCCATGCTCAGTGGGGAGTCTACTTCTCTCCGTCTCTCTCTCTCCTTCTCTCTCTCTCTCTCTCCCTTTGCCCCTCCCCTTGCTCATGCTCTCTAAATAAATAAATAAATCTTAAAAAAAGAGTCTGTTTAAAAAACATGTGGAGGAAAAAAGTGATAATACAAATATCTGTTATTAAAAATATCTCAAAGTGGTCCTGTTGGAATTCTAAGTTCCAAGAGTGAGTACAAAGCAGAAAAGATTGCACATACTGAAACAATAAATAGGTTTAGCTGAAATACTTGTTTATATCCTTTCTCTTAGTCTTTGCTTCTTTCCCATTTTATTGTTTATGGAAATGCAATTTATATTTAAGCCAATAAATAAAAATAAAAACCCTAGAGATGGGGCACCTGGATGGCTCAGCGTTAAGCGTCTGCCTTCAGCTCAGGTCATGATCCCAGGGGCCTGGGATGGAGCCCCATGTCAGGCTCCCTGCTCAGCAGAGAATCTGCTTCTCCCTTTCTCTCTCCCTCTGCCTCTCCCCCGGCTCATGCTTGTGCGCACACATGTGCTCTCTCTCAAATAAATAAATAAATGTTAAAAAAAAAAAAAACACTAGAGATTATTATATATCTTTTTTTAAGATTTATTTATTTTAGAGAGAGAGCATGAGCAGGAAGGGCAGAGGGAGAATGAGAGAGAAACTAAAGCACACTCCACGCTGAGCACAGAGCCCAACGCGGGGCTCACTCTCATGAACCTGAGATCACAACCCAAGCCAAAACCAAGAGTCGGATGCTCAACTGTGCCACCCAGATGTGCCAAGATAATTGCATTTTTTAAGTTTTTTTTTTTTTAAGATTTTATTTATTTATTTGACAGAGAAAGACACAGTGAGAGAGGGAACACAAGCAGGGGGAGTGGGAGAGGGAGAAGCAGGCTTCCCGCTGAGCAGGGAGCCTGATGCAGGGCTCGATCTTAGGACCCCAGGATCATGACCGGAGCCGAAGGCAGATGCTTAGCGACTGAGCCACCCCAGGTGCCCCGATAATTGCATTTTTTAAGGAATTTTCTTTACGGTTACTCTGGTTCATGAGGTCACAGGGTGCATAGCTAAATTAGTTTCCCAGGCCACATGCCACTTGGGAGACTTACAGAGAAACTTATGGAAAACCAATCATAAGAATGTTTTCCTGCACTCCTATCATTTAGATAGCAGAAATAATCTATTTCCGAACACAATTACGTATTTAGACAACCCCATGTTATACACGAACTTTTTTCCTAAGTGGAGTATCAAAATGACTCAGATTAATTGATAAAGAGAAAAAACAAAAGAGCAGCAGCAAAGTGAACCTCTACCTCTTTTTGAAGTTGAACTTTCTTTTTTTCCAAATCCCAGATGTCTATCTGTAACATGCCTATCTCGTTCTTAAACTTTTGAACATCTTGCTGTAATTCTTCTTTTAGACATACTTCTGATGTTCTGTAACTACATGGTGGAGAAGAACTCACATTTTCTAATTCGGGTTCCATACTTCTATAGTTATTAGTACTGTTATTAACTGCACAGAATGGCTTCTGGAACAAGACTTTTGTTTTCTTGTAAATGTTTGTAACGGCAGAACTATGGTGCCTTTTTATTTGAGCCATTTGTCTCATCTCATTGGAGCGGGAAAACCTTTTGTCAAAATGGCTTTCTGAATCACTAGACTGAGGTATACGTCCAATGTCTAATTTAGAATTAGTGCTATTTTGGTTCATACTTTTTGCCATTTGCACGTCAAACTCTTGGTCTTCTTTCACTTCAAACGTAGCGAGTGGGTTCCTTACTTTTTTAGTTTCTGTATCACTTTTAAAACTCTTATTTTTGTTAAAAACATGCTCCGTGTCTGGTTTGCTATCATTTTCACAGTCTGATTTATTTTCACTTAGAGAAAAATCAGAAGATGCCTGGCAAGCATATTTGAGACTAGAATTTTTTTGTTCAGGAAATGCCTGAACTACTAGAGGGACAGGCACTGCAAATATATGCTTTTTCTCACAATCAAGTCTATCATTTGTCAAGTTAGAAGGTATTTCCATTAAGTTTGCTCCTTCTTTAAAGTTACCACGTAGTGACTCTTCCTTAGGATAAGGAGCAATTTTTTGTTTTTCACAAGTTTCACCAAACTTCCACTTTAACTCACTGATGATGTGTTTTAGATTATTTTTCCACACCAATTTGCCTTGTTTGATCGAGATTTCCTCACGCTTTTGCACAGAAGGATGTTCTGAATATACAGATATATTATCCTTTCTATCACATTTCTTATTCATTTCTGGTTCTCGAGACTTTTTTTGCAGATGCAAAAGTGGAACGTTAATTTGCTGGGCTTGATTTTCACATGTCTTTTCTGCCAGGATACATGTTTGTGAAATACCTTTATCCTTAAGTAATCAAGTAGGGACAAAGAAAAATTAGAAAATAATTAAAATTTAACTGTTAAATTTCTTAATCTATGTTAAGCTGCTCCCAAGTCACTATGTTGTAACAAAGAAGTGACAAATAACTCGCCCTAGCTTAGACAGAAGAAAAACATAAATCCATAAACTTAACTTTGTCAGTTTTTTTGAAATAAACAATTCATTACATGTTACATCTACCAAAAAATGAATTAGATTATTTTTTAATGTTGCAAACTTAAAAGCATTTTATCTCACCATACTTAAGAATATATATATATTTATATATATATATAAATTATAATTTTCATATTTAAGAATAGTGAGCCCCTACAGCACATTTGAGGATTTTCTTTAAAGATTAATAACTAGAGAATAGGCAAATTTTCAATTATTAGGAGCCAAGATCAATTAACATCAATCAGAAAGAAAATTCCTAAATCTTAATTCAAATTATGTACTATGATAGTGTTATACATCACTATAATTATCTGCTTATATACAGCTCTAATATAATGTCCACTGAGAGTGGATGAGAAAAATGTTAATAATACTTACTGATTTCCTATGCTAAAATGAAATAACTGAAAAAGTTATTGTTTATTACCCAACTACAAAGGTCCCACCCTGGAAGGTGTGATTCTACAATAGGCAATTGTGCTGATTTTATGACCCCACTCTCTGAAGTCAACTACACAGAGATCGCAAGGCGAAATAAATCTTTTATCTTGGTATTAGTGACTGGCAATACAGAACTGCACATTTTGAACCACTGAGAATTACTCCTTCTACCTGAATCTAAGTCACTAGTCATCATTATTATACTGCTCATAATTTCAACTCCTTAAACATATGATTCAATATTTGATGTTACCTTCTTTATTGCATAAAAAGTTACAAAAATGTGAAGAAGCAAACAATATTCAGGAATTTTTTTTATCTCAATTCCAAGGATGAAGTTTAGCTATAAGTTACTATAAATTCTAACAATATTTTAAGTTTTGTAACTTGTAAAATTTTATAAAAACTAAATATTAAATTATAATCTAATGACTTCAATATGTCCATTCAAAAGATCATTTCATTTGAACTATGTTACATTATTAAAGCAGGAAAAACAATATAAAATCGGAAATTTAAATTTAACTTTTTACATACCTTTAGGTGGTTATTTTCACTTTCATCAAGTCTTTTTTGCTCTTCCTCTGATGTCCTTTCTAAGTCTAGTTCTGCTGGCCAATCTATATATTTAGTTAAAATGGACTACTTAGAATGGTTAGATAAAAGCTATAACCTTCTTAAAAATAGAAAATAACATTTTATCTATTGATAGTTTAAACTTAATCTTTAGCTGAATATTTACTTTAAGAAATACTTTTAATTATAGGAAGCTTCAACAAACCATTTGGGAAATACTAAATGTCACCAGGTTAAAGACATACAAACATCTCAAAGATTCATTCACAGGTTCATCCACCTAACATCAATGAACAAAACAATCAGAAACAAAATTTTATAATGCAGCAGAAACGTATAAAATCACAACAGACTGTTCTTTACCTTGTAACAGCACCTCTTAACACTCAAAGCTTCAACTACATTATTCATGGTTTCCAAAATTATTAGTATTTTTTATGCCTTTATTAGTGTACAACCTTCCTATGGGTGTATGTCCCTGATGAGTGTAAACATGCCTGAAATGTTTTCCTCTACTACTTGATAAATTTCTTCACATCTTTTAGGACACAGACTGCTATGTAAAGCCATCCTTGATTATGGCTCTTCTTCCCCAGATGAATAGGTGTCTCTTTCTTCAGGGCTGCCTTAGTACTTTATCGATTTTTCTAGTGTATCTTCACCACCTGAACTGTAAATTACTTCTTTATATATCTCTTATTTTGCTCCTGGACTGTATGGGACAATCTCTCTCACTCTCCCTCTCTTTTTGGAGAGGGGGAGGAGCAGATAGAGAGAGAGGGAATCTTGACGGGGCTCCAAGCCCAGCACTGAGCCCCACACGGGGCTCGATCTCACAACTCTGAGGTCATGACCGGAGCCGAAATCAAGAGTTGGACACTCAACCGACTGAGCCAACCAGGTGCCCCTGTATGGGGCAATCCCTTAAGTCATTTCTGTGTCTACACTCTTTATTTTACTCAGTAATTATTTACAGAGTTTCCCGTAAGTGCTAGGCACCCAGGTTTAAAGAAGCATGTAGATAAAAGGTGTCAGGAATGGTTTTTCTGGAGATAATGCCTGAACTGAAACTGAAAACAGTGAGGTCAGCCAGATTCAAAGGGGTCAGAGGGAGGAAAACGGGAAGAGTATGCAAGGCTGTAGTAAGACAAGGGAGAGAAGCACACAACAGGGTAAATATTTGTCTAAAATACAGGGATCTAAGAGGAAGTCAAGACTATGAAAGCTTTATATGTAATTTTAAGATACCTGGACACAAATATATTTTCAACAGTGGTTCATAGTCATATTTACATTTGAGACAGATCACTCTAAATGCTGTGGGGAGGAATGAATTTGAGGGGCACTGTAATAAAAGATGGGAGATGAATTAGAAGGCAGTAAGGCAAAATAAAGATGAAGTACAACTGCACTGACAGAATGGTTCCAGAAATACTGAGGCTATAAAATGATCAGGGCACAGTACAGTATAAATCTGTATTAAATGAATAAACACACAATCTTGGGTCCCTAGAGACTAACTTTGCTCATTACTTTATAAAAGGCATCAAGTGAGAAGAGAAACAATCTACATGAACTGTTTTAAGTTGCTTGTATTTATAATTTGTGTTTCAGATCTTCCTTTGTTACAGGAGCCTGTAGGTATTTTAAAAGTCCTACTTCTTGGATCTACCAAGCTCATGAAGAAGTAAAAGCAAACAAGTCACTTGTATAGGTAAATAACTTTGGATTTATTGCCTGTACGCATTACTCTAGGAGATAATTGAAAATCTTTTGAAAATACAGTGTTAATTCTACAAGGAAAGAAAGAACATAAAAGTACAGGGGTGAAAAAAATATTGTACGGTTTATTAGTACAGACCTGATCATATGACTGATAAAAGGCATGGAATGAACTGGTACATTAAGTAGAGCACACATTAGAGGTGGTTAATCAATAGACAGAGTATCTTAGTAGAATTAAAATGGACTTTCCATATATTGTTTTTAAATAATATAGTGCTCCTTAAAACCAATATTCCATTTATTTATTAAAAATAATAAAGGGAGGTGCCTGGGTGGCTCAGTCAGTTAAACGGCTGCCTTCGGCTCAGGTCATTAACCCCTGGACCTGGGATCAAGTCCCGCATCGGGCTCCCTGCTCAGCTGGGAGTCTGCTTCTCCCTCTGCCACTCCTCCCACTCGTTCTCTCAATTTCCCTCTCTCTCAAATCAATAAAAATTTTAAATAACAATAATAATAATAAAGAGGCACCTGGGTGGCTCAGTGAGTTAAGTGTCCAACTTTTGATTTAGGCTCAGGTCATGATCTCAGGGTCATGAGATTGAGCCCTCCCCATCAGGCCCTGTGCTGAGCATGAAGCCTGCTTGGGATTCTCTCTCTCCCTCTCCCTCTCTCCCCCCATCTCTCTCTCTCTAAAGAGATAAAATAAAAATAATAAAACAAGGAGATGGACTATGCATACATAGCTGAGAAGATGATACTATATAGTAAATTCTCAACTATTCCCATTACTGCTGGGAAAGCCAACTCTAAAACAAAAGTCATATAGAACATAGGAAATATTTTAATATTTGATTTGGGAAGGTGCTTTTTATAGTTACAATGAATATAGCTTGACCAATACTTGTGAATTTAGAGCTACAAAATAAAGCTAAGAAACTATGTTTTGAGTAAGCAATCTTTAGATCTCTACCTAGTATTCCCCACTGGTCCCAAAGTTCTAAATATAATCCTGCTACCTACTCTCAAGTGAATGCTAAAAACTAGCCTAAAGGAAATTACTTTCTCATAATTCTTATTCAGATGTTCCTTTGGTTAGAGGAAGAAGAGAGAGAGAGAGAGCGCACAAGCAGGGGGAGCAGCAGGGGCAGAAGGAGAAGCAGGCTCTTCACTGAGCAAGGAGCCCAATGTGGGACTCGATCCCAGGATCCTGGGATCATGACCTGAGCCACAGGCAGACGCTCAACGGATTGAGCCACCCTCGCGTCCCTATCTTCAGAAATTTTTAAGCCTTGGACAAACATCATAAATTCATCTGAGAAATGAAAGCCTCGGGTGATCTAATCATTTCCATGTAAAAACACAGTCAGTCTCAGTCCACGCTAGATCCAAAAACTACAATGCCATGAAACAGAAAATGAATATATAACAAAAATACTTTCCTTTTTTTTTTTTTTAAACAAGATTGTCTGATTTAAACCTCTTAAGACAAGGGAAAGAAAAAAGCAAGAAATGCAGAAATGAAACCTTAATGCCCACTTCACCACAAGGGCCCCTCTTATCATTTTGTATCCATGAACCCTGTACACGGTTTAAAACAGTTCTCCCATGTCATCTGAGAATCCCCGGAGTTCCAATCCATCCATTCAGTAATGCTAAATGTTATTTGACATTTTCACTCTCATTCTCTTATTAAGTGTATGGTGAAGTTTTCTAAAGATAGGATACGTGATAGTATCACAACTTGCATGATTACTGGGTCAGAGCTCTAACGGCTGAGAATGTATGATCGTGTATGCTTGTATTTTAAATGCTTGTTTTAATTTCTACTATGGTAAATATCAACACTTAAACAGAAGTTCTTTGGAATTCCTAATAATTTTTAAATAGCATAAAAGGACCCTAAGGCCAATAAGTTTCAAAATTATGGTTTTAAAAGACTGTGTCTACCAAATACTAGGATAGAACTAATTACTTCCCACAGTTTTAATAATCAAAGACACCATACACACACACACACACACACACACACACACAGAGTCCACTAATCAGAACATCTGTTTGGCTTAAGATGATCAACATAATAACGCTAAGATGAAATAAACTTAAAACACAATTGACATGATAGCAAGTGAAGCTTTACTCTAGGGAAAGGTCAGAATTGAAATAAACATTGTGAACACTGGAAAAATCTGAGAGTCTAATAATTAACTTCTGGGAATCCCAAGGAAGTAATGGGATTCCAAACTGGGAACTTCAGGAATTCAAAGCATAAAAGTAGAAACTAGAGCTAAAGCTTACATTTTAAAAGTCTCTTTTTCTTATGCTTATAAATATCTTCTGTTCAAACATGGGTATCAACAATGGTATCTACCTTATTTATGTCAAATCCTTCAGTTAAATTTGCCACCAAAAAAAAAAAAAAATTCAGAATAAGAAGACTGTGAGCATTTCAAATATTTTAGTGTACTTCTTTCCACTGTGAAATTTGTATTGTAAAATTTACCTGAGTTGGATGCTTGTTTTTCCTTCACTTCTACTGTTTTATTAGGAACAGAATCTTTCACTTCAACAGTAGGCTGAATGGGTATTAAAACAATATGATTAAGACATGATGGACCTTTCATACAATCTGTAGTTAAAAATTCAAAATAAAAATATAAAAGTTTTACCTTCACGTAAGGATAACTTTTAGGAGAATCTGAAAAGTAAAATGGACATAATGTTAATTATATGTAAACATGAAAGGCAACTAAACATTCATGCAGTTAGTACTAAGCTGAATCCTCATGCTTGGCTCTGAAAATGATTACATTAGGTTTTGGTGTTCTGTTTCTGGAGATAGGAAGGTGGTTTCGGACAGCGACAAGAGAGAAATATGAACCCAGTATAAATATTGAAAAAAAATGCAAATATATGTATTCAGTGTCAATCTTACTGATAATAACAATTGTAGCATTTAGAGAACGAACCCTATAATCTCTTTGGTTTCCAAATTTAGTTTGATTTGGTAGATCATGTTATTCTTTAAAAGTTTTTGTGAAACAGCTATCATATAAAAAAATTAGCTATCTTAAAAAAAAAAAAGCCGAAGCTTCCATATTCAAATTAATCTCATTGAAATAATGAATACCAATACAAGAGAGATCTTTGATGTCCCATAGATCTGAGGAGGATGAAAGAGTGGCTGTTTTACCCCAACTTTAGCACTCCATCTGCTTTCAGTATTCTTTGTGGAGCAGCTGTAATTTAATGTTTTGTTGAGTTGAGTGCAAATACACTCAAGTCATCTAAAGTGAATTCTCTCGAGCTTCCTCATCAACTCCAAAATTTCCTAGCTAACACGCCTCACTTTCTTCCCTCCTTCCCTTCACTATCCACCTTCTTCAAAAGTAATTTCTGGGAGCACCTGGCTCTTGATTTCGGCTCAGGTCATGATGTCTGGGTCCTGGGAATGAGCCCCTCATCAGGCTCCAGGCCCAGCAGGGAGTCTGCTTAAGGATACTCTCTCCCTCTCCCGTTGCCCCTCGCCCTGGTCGCTCGCTCTCTCTATCCCTAATATAAATAAATTTTTTTAAAAAGTAATTTCTAGATCTATGGTCTTGATTGTTCTGCTTTTACATCCCTTTTATTACGGATTATCTCCACCACTTCTTTCCTCTTTGTTTAGCAGTAGTATCTTACATCTATAACCTCTATTTCTGCATCTCCTTGCTCCCCTCTAGCTAAAAACATGCTCAGCAATAAAAACAAAATAATGCTTTTCCTTGATTCCATTATGTCTTGAACTATCCAAAGGCCCTTCCTGATTTCGCTAAAGGGAAGTCTACATCCTTCCTATGGAGCACATGACCCAAGGACCGCCAACACTGACATCACCTGAGAAGTCAGACTGCAGAATCCCAGACCTGCTGCTCACAATGTGCATTTTTAACAAGGTCTCGGATGATTCACTAAAATTTGAGAAATTCTGGTCCACACTGAGTCTGTTGCCACATTCCTTTACCTTAACTGAACCTTCTAGAAAAAGTCTCAAGTTCGTCACTATCGATTCTCCAAAACTGAAAATGTATTAAAAGTCATAAACTTTCGGGGTGCCTGGGTAGCTCAGTTGTTAAGCGCCTGCCTTCAGCTCAGGTCATAGTCTCAGGGTCCTGGGATCGAGCCCCGCACTGGGCTCCCTGCTTGGCGGGAAGCCTGCTTCTCCCTCTCTCACTCCCCCTGCTTGTGTTCCCTCTCTTGCTGTGTCTCTCTCTGTGTCAAATAAATAAATAAAATTTAAAAAAAAGTCATAAACTTTCTAATGGACTTTTTATCAGGGCTAAAGCTTCCTTGATCTCCCCCTAACTGACCCTGCTCTCTTCTTCCTTCCAATTCTCCTATTTTGCACTAAATGATACTATCTTATGAAGTGCCACCATTTTATATGACATTAAGATATATACATTTATAGCTGACTAGGACATAGCTCTGCATAATCAGCTACGCCAGTCCTTAATGACATCCCAACAGTGAGGAAATCAGTAAGAGTGGAAAAATTTTGGCATACTACTCTGACAAACTTTGGTACTGGAAGCTCACTTGATATTATTCCTGCATTTCAAATACTCTGCTCTTCCTTTTAAAAGAATTATTTTATGTTACCACCTTCCACTATAAAGAGCTGCTTTGTCCTTCATTTACTCCCGGTACTCTCCGCCTTTCTCATCATTCCCTCTTTTCCTCTTATTTCCTGATGTCCCTTAGGTCTTAGAGTATCTTGAAATGGAACCAGTAATTTAGCTCCTTCAGTGGCACTCTCAATTTAATCTGTTGCTGACCCCTGATAAGATATACAATTGATCTCCTTTTCACATCTTTCTCCTTTCTATGCATTTAATAGGTGATTTTCTTTGGATATTAGAACATATCAGTATTCCCATTTTAAATTAACATTCTATCAAGTGACTTTTTAAGAAAATACAATTCTTACCTTCTACTTGTTCATTTAATATACGTGGTCCTTTCTGATCTGCAGCTCCAAATAAATGTTTAATGTCTTTCTTTGGAGGACTCTCAGAAATACTCTGTTAAAATTAACATCAAAAATGAGCTGCATAAAGACTTTCTAATCCTTTTCTAAGAAAATATCTGAATTTCCTACTTTAACAGCAATCAGACTTACAAATAAGAAAAGCATGTATTGAAAACCAAAACATCTAAAAACCTCATATATGCTTTCTAGACTAAGTGTACCTTTTAATCTGCATTTGCCCACCAACTCTGTAAACTGAACATGGAAGGCCAAAGGAGTAAATACTTTCATAGACAGAAGACTGATTTATATGTACATTTCAACAGGAACTAACAAAACACCTAACTCTCCTTTGCATTTCCCACCAAAATAAAAGGACATTAAAAATATGTAGTTAAACAAATTCTTTAATAAGTATATTTGCTACGGATTTAAACTGTTCCTAATGGCAGAAACTTTTTCAGTGCTAAAGTAAGATACTTGACATGATGAGAAACCTTGGAGTATATCATGTTGAGTATAAACAGAATACTGTGGTAGCTGCTGCTTCATTTAGATAAACAAAGGCTTGGACTTTTTATTGATAGGAGAAATGGTTGAATGAAATGGCAAAGTAGGAAGAAAAACTTTTCTTGAAATTATATTTAAATAATAGCAAAAAATTTTAGATACAGGTATGAAACTCTTCAAAAAGTATAGTAAGCGGGGAGGGGGGGAAAGATGGTGGAGGAGTAGGGGACCCTATTTCAACTGGTCCCCAGAATTGAGCTGGATATCTACCAGACCACTCTGAGCACCCACGAAATCAGCCTGAGATGTAAGAAGATCTGGATCTCTACAAACAGAATATCGCAGGCAGTTGGTTTTGAGGTACGAAGCGGAGAGCCCTGATTCTGCGGGCAGATATCGGAGGATAAATGGCAGCGGGAGGGTGCTTGGCCGTGGGGATCCTGCACCCCCGGTGAGTGACAGCTTCGCGCACTGCGGACAGGGCACAGACTCGCAGACCGGTAGCCTCTGGAAAGAACTTTAGGGCAGCCCCTGGGTGTAAAACCAGACTGGCGGGGTCGTGCACACGCGAACCGCAGCCCTCCGGACAGAAACCCGGAGCGACGGTCGCGCGCACGTGAACTGCAGCCTCCGAGAGGGAAACATGGTGCACCGCATCCCGCCGGAGAACTGCAAGCCCCGGGGTGGGAACCCCGAGCGGCGGATTTGCGCGCCCGCACGAACTGGGAGCGGCTGGCGGTTTTAGAAACACAAAGGGCAGAGACGTGCCCCGACCTGGAGGCAGGACTGGGGGCGCTGTGGAGGGGCGCACACCCCAGGACGCTGCAGTTTATAGCAGCACGGACAGAAGCAGAGATAGTGTGGCCTGGAGAGCTCACGGAAGAACAGACTGTGGTCTCTCTGCTCTGAGGCAGAGGGTTGGAAACGGTCTCTTCTGCTCTGACTCGCGGAAGAGACGCGGAAAGCTGCCAGGGAAAGCCGCCAGAGAACAAAAGCCCCAAAGACTGATCCCCACTGAGCCCATCCCCCACCACAGGGGCTCAGGGCAACTCCGCCCAAACAGGGTTGCCTGAGTAACAGTGCGGCAGGCCCCTCCCGCAGAAGACAGGCTGGGAAAACAAGAGACCAGCAACCCTAAGGTCCCAAGAAAACAGGTGCATCTTGCTTGGGTTCTGGTCAATAATTTAGACTCTATACATTCCCTCAAACACCCATCAACAGAATGACTAGGAGGAGGAGCCCCCAAAACAGAAAAGACTCAGAGATTATGACTTATGCTGCAGATTTATGAATGGATGCAGATATAACCAAGATGTCAGAGATGGAATTCAGGCTAGCAATTGTGAAGACAATGGCTAGAATGTAGAAATCAATTAATGGCAACATGGAGTCTCTAAGGGCAGAAATAAAAGGTGAATTGGCAGAACTTAAAAATGCTATCAATGAGATCCAATCCAATCTAGATAATCTAACAGCTGAGGTAACTGAGGCAGAAGAAGCGACCTGGAAGACAATATAATAGATAAAAAGGGAAAAGACAAGGCCAGGGAAAAACAACTCAGAATCCATGAAAATAGAATCAGAGAAATAAGTGACGCCACGAAGTGTTCCAATGTCAGAATAATTGGAATCCTGGAAGGAGTGGAGAGAGAGAGAGGACTAGAAGATGTATTTGAGCAAATCGTAGCTGAGAACTTCCCTAATCTGGGGAATGAAGCAAACATTTGAGTCTTAGAGGCAGAGAGGACCCCTCCCAAGATCAAGGAAAACAGGGCAACACCCCGGCATGTAATAGTAAAACTTGCAAATCTGAGAACCAAGGAAACCATCTTAAGGGCAGTTAGGAGGAAGAGATTCCTTACGTACAGAGGCAGGAACATCAGAATAACGTCAGACCTATCCACAGAGACCTGGCAAGCCAGAAAGGCCTGGCAAGATATACTCAGGGTACTAAAGGAGAAAAACATGCAGCCAAGAATACTTTATCTGGCAAGGCTTTCATTTAGAATGGATGGAGAGATGCAGAGCTTCCACGACCGGCAGAAACTGAAAGAATATGTGACCACTAAGCCGGCCCTGCAAGAAATATTAAGGGGAGTTCTATAAAAGGAGAAAGACCCCAAGAGTGATATACGACAGAAATTTACAGGGACAATGTATAAAAACAACATCTTCACAGGCAACATGATGACAATTAATTCATATCTTTTAATAATCACTCTCAACATGAATGGCCTAAACGCTCCCATAAAACGGCACAGGGTTACAGATTGGATAAAAAGACAGGACCCATCCATATGCTGTGTACAAGAGACTCATTTTGAACCTAAAGATACATCCAGACTGAAAGTGAAGGGATGGAGATCTATCTTCCATGCCAACGGACCTCAAAAGAAAGCTGGGGTAGCAATTCTTATATCAGACAAATTAGATTTTAAACTAAAGTCTGTAAATAAGAGACACGGAAGGACACTCTATCATTCTTAAAGGGTCCATCCAACAAGAAGATCTAACAATTGTAAATATCTATGCCCCCAACATGGGAGCAGCCATCTACATAAGCCAACTGTTAACCAAAATAAAGAGTCATATTGATAACAATACGTTAATTGTAGGAGACATCAATACTCCACACTCAGCAATGGACAGATCACCTAACCAGAAAATCAACAAGGAAACAAGAGCTTTGAATGACACACTGGACCAGATGGACCTCATAGATATTTACAGAACATTCCACCCTAAAACAACAGAAGACTCATTCTTCTCGAGCGCACATGGAACTTTCTCCAGAATAGACCATATACTGGGCGACAAATCAGGTCTCAACCGATACCAAAAGATTGAGATTATTCCCTGCATATTCTCAGACCACAATGCTCTAAAACTGGAACTCAATCACAAGAGAAAATTTGGCAGAAATTCAAACACTTGGAAGCTAAAGAGCATGCTGCTCAAGAATGTTTGGGTCAACCAAGAAATAAAAGAACTTAAACAATTCAAGGAAATCAATGAGAACGAAAACACATCAGTGCAAAACCTATGGGATACTGCAAAGGCGGTCCTAAGTGGGAAATACATAGCCATCCAAGCCTCACTCAAAAAAATAGAAAGATCCCGAATTCACCAACTAACTCTACACCTTAAAGAACTAGAGAAAAAGCAACAAATGACGCCTAAGCCACGCATTAGAAGAGAAATAATTAAAATTAGAGCAGAAATCAATGAATTAGAAACTAGAAACACAGTAGATCAGATCAATGAAACTAGAAGTTGGTTCGTTGAAAGAATTAGTAAGATTGATAAACCACTGGTCTGACTTATCCAAAAGAAGAGAGAAACGACCCAAATTAATAAAATTATGAATGAAAGGGGAGAGATCATGACCACCACCAAGGAAATAGAAACAATTATTAGAAATTATTATCAACAACTATATGCCAATAAACTGAGCAACACCTGGAAAAAATGGATGCCCTCCTGGAAACCTATAAGCTGCCAAGACTGAAAAAGGAAGAAATTGATAACCTGAATAGGCCAATAACCAGTAACGAGTTTGAAGCAGTGATCAAAAACCTCCCGAAAAACAAGAGTCCAGGGCCTGGTGGATTCCCTGGGGAATTCTACCACACATTCAAAGAAGAAAAAATACCTATTCTCCTGAAGCTGTTTCAAAAAATAGAAGCAGAAGGAAAACTTCCAAACTCATTCTATGAGGCCAGCATTACCTTAATCCCCAAACCAGGCAAAGATCCCATCAAAAAGGAGAATTTCAGACCGATATCCCTGATGAATATGGATTCCAAAATCCTCAACACAATCCTAGCTAATAGGATCCAACAATACATTAAAAGGATCATCTACCACGAACAAGTGGGATTTATCCCCGGGATGCAAGGGTGGTTCAACATTCGCAAATCAATCAATGTGATAGAACACATTAATAAGAGGAGGGAGAAGAACCATATGGTCCCCTCAATTGATTCAGAAAAAGCATTTGACAAAATACAACATCCTTTCCTGATTAAAACTCTCCAGAGGATAGGAATAGAGGGAATATTTCTCAAGCTCATAAAATCCAGCTATGAAAAACCCACAGCGAATATCATCCTCAATGCAGAAAAGCTGAGAGCCTTTCCCTTAAGATCAGGAACACGTCAAGGGTGCCCACTCTCACCACTGTTGTTCAACATAGTACTAGAAGTCCTAGCAACAGCAATCAGACAACAAAAAGAAATAAAAGGTATTCAAATTGGCAAAGAAGAAGTCAAACTCTCTCTTTTCGCAGACAACATGATACTTTATGTGGAAAACCCAAAAGACTCCACCCCCAAATTACTAGAACTCATCCAGCAATTCAGTAATGTGGCAGGATACAAAATCAATGCACAGAAATCAGTTGCTTTTTTATACACTAACAACACAAGTGTAGAAAGAGAAAATAAAGAAACGATTCCATTTACAATAGCAGCAAAAACCATAAGATACCTCGGAATAAACCTAACCAAAGAGGTATAGGATATATACTCTAGGAACTACAAAACACTCATGAAAGAAATTGAAGAAGACACAAAAAGATGGAAAAATATTCCATGCTCATGGATTGGAAGAATAAACATTGTTAAAATGTCTATGCTACCCAGAGCAATCTATACCTTCAATGCCATCCCGATCAAAATTCCAATGACATTTTTCAAAGTGCTGGAACAAACAATCCTAAAATTTGAATGGAATCAGAAAAGACCCCGAATCGCCAAGGAACTGTTAAAAAAGAAAAACAAAGCTGGGGGCATCACGTTGCCCGATTTCAAGCTATATTACAAAGCAGTGATCACCAAGACAGCATGGTACTGGCACAAAAACAGACATACAGAGCAATGGAACAGAATAGAGAACCCAGATATGGACCCTCAACTCTATGGTCAAATAATCTTTGACAAAGCAGGAAAAAACATGCAATGGAAAAAAGCCAGTCTCTTCAATAAATGGTGCTGGGAAAATTGGACAGCCACATGCAGAAGAATGAAACTCGACCATTCTCTAACACCATTCACAAAGATAAACTCAACGTCGATGAAAGACCTCAATGTGAGACAGGAATCCATCAAAATCCTAGAGGAGAACATAGGCAGTAACCTCTTTGACATAGGCCACAGCAACTTCTTTCAAGATACATCTCCAAAAGCTAGTGAAACAAAAGCAAAAATGAAATTTGGGACTTCATCAAGATAAAAAGCTTCTGCACAGCAAAGGAAACAGTCAACAAAACAAAGAGGCAACCCACAGAATGGGAGAAGATATTTGCAAATGACACTACAGATAAAGGGCTGGTACCCAAGATCTATAAAGAACTTCTCAAACTCAACACCCAAAAAACAAATAATCAAGTCAAAAAGTGGGCAGAAGAGATGAACAGACACTTCTCTGAAGAAGACATACAAATGGCTAATAGACACATGAAAAAATGTTCATCATCATTACCATCAGGGAAATTCAAATCGAAACCACACTGAGATACCACCTTACACCAGTTAGAATGGCAAAAATGGACAGGGAAAGAAACAACAAATGTTGGAGAGGTTGTGCAGGAAGGGGAACCCTCTTACACTGTTGGTGGGAATGCAAGTTGGTACAGCCACTTTGGAAAACAGTGTGGAGGTTCCTCAAAATTTTTAAATAGAGCTATTTAAATAAATTCATACCCTATGACCCAGCAATTGCACTCCTGGGTATTTACCCCAAAGACACAGATGTAGTGAAAGAAGGGCCATATGCACCCCAATGTTCATAGCAGCAATGTCCGCAATAGCCAAACTGTGGAAAGAGCCAAGATGCCCTTCAACAGGTGATTGGATAAAGAAGATGTGGTCCATATATACAATGGAATATTACTCAGCCTTCAAAAAAGATGAATACCCAACTTTTACATCAACATGGATGGGACTGGAGGAGATTATGCTAAGTGAAATAAGTCAAGCAGAGAAAGTCAATTATCATATGGTTTCACTTATTTGTGGAACATAAGGAATAACATGGAGGACATTAGGAGAAGGAAGGGAAAAATGGGCGGGGGGGATTGGAGGGAGAGATGAACCATGAGAGACTATGGACCTGAGAAACAAACAGGGTTTTAGAGGGGAGCGGGGAGGGGGGATTGGTTAGCCTGGTGATGGGTATTAAGGAGGGCACGCACTGCATGGAGCACTGGGTATTATACGAAAACAATGGATCGTGGATCACTACATCAAAAACTAATGATGTAATGTATGGTGACTAACATAACATAATAAAATTTAAAAAAAAAAGTAGTAAGCTTTCATAAGGGAAGAATAAGAACATTTATTTATTAATTACCTAAAATGTACCAGGCACTCGGGCGCCTGGGTGGCTCAGTTGGTTAAGCGACTGCCTTCGGCTCAGGTCATGATCCTGGAGTCCCTGGATCGAATCCCGCATCAGGCTCCCTGCTCAGCAGGGAGTCTGCTTCTCCCCCTGACCCTCCCGACCCTCCCCCTCTCATGCTCTCTCTCTCTCAGTCTCTCTCTCAAATAAATAAATAAAATCTTAAAAAAAAAAAATGTACCAGGCACTTATTTTAGTATGCACATTTTCTTTTCTACACACAACAATAACAATGACTATGTCAATGGGGTGGATCTTCCAGCTTCCTGGTCATTCCAAGTCATAAGAGTGAAATGATGAATAGATGTGATCCATGGTTCTCTCTGTCTAGAATGTCCTTCTCCAAGACCTTCACATGACTGGTCCTTCTCATCCGCCATTTGGAGGCTCTTGCCACATTCAGAGAGATCTTTCCTGAATAAAAAAATTCCACTCCCATTCTCATCCCCATCCTAATTACAAACTCCCCCAAAACTCCTTAACCTAACATTTCCATTTTCTTTATATGAAGCACTTATAGTAACTTACCAATGGATTGTTGTATCCTTATTTTTTCTGCTCCTACCACTACAGCCTAACCCCTCAACTTATACAACCTGGTACATAGCTGATATTCAATAACAGAAATGTATTTAAGGTCGGGCGCCTGGGTGGCTCAGTTGGTTAAGCGACTGCCTTCAGCTCAGGTCATGATCCTGGAGTCCTGGGATCGAGTCCCGCATCGGGCTCCCTGCTCGGCGGGGAGTCTGCTTCTCCCTCTGACCCTCCTCCCTCTCATGCTCTCTGTCTCTCATTCTCTCTCTCTCAAATAAATAAATAAAAATCTTTAAAAAAAAAAAAAAGAAATGTATTTAAGGTCAAAACATTTAAAATAATCTCACTGAGGGGGGTGCCTGCATGGCAGCATTAGTTAAGTGTCCAACTCTTGATTTCAGATCAGTTCATGATCTCAGGGTCATGAGATCAAGCCCCATGTCGGGCTCCGTGCTGAGCATGAAGCCTACTTGGAATTCGCTCTCTCTCTCTTCTTCTGCCCCTCCCCACCCTCTCACACGCTCTCTCTCTCTCTCTAAAAAATAAATAAAATCACCTCACTGAGAAGGTCTCAAGTACCAAGTCACTATACTGTCGACCCTTACACAATGCAAAGGTTAAGGGCGTTGACAGCTGTGCAGTCAAAAATCCACATATAACTTTTGATTCCCCAAAAACTTAACTACTAATCTCCTATTGAACTTCCTACTTTAAAAGCAATTAGACTTAAAAATAGGAACAATGTAAATGAAAAACCAAAACATTTAAATAGAAGACCTCGTATATGCTCTCTAGATCTAATCTACATCTTAATTCTCCTTTGGCCATTGACTCTGTAAACTGAGCATGGAAGGTCAGAGAAAATTATAACCTAATGCTGACCTTACCAATAATGTAAAGTCAATTAACACATTTTGTGTGTTATATGTATTATATACTGTATTCTTACAATATAAAGAAAAGTTTATTAAGAAAATCATAAGGAAGAGAAAACAGATTAACAGTACTGTACTGTATCAAAAAAAACCGTAACATACCCCAACTTAGAAATGCACCTGCCCGTTCTAACTTTCCCATTCTTTTCTGGACACTACTGCCATTTATTTTACTGTCCTTCAGAAATCTTCACATTTAAAAAAAAGTGTCCTCAATATTTAATAAATCACTAAATACTGCTGTGATCATTTTTGTCCTATATTTCTATAGCAGCCTTTACAGTATACAAAGTGTTTTCACATTTGTTACCACATTTGTTCATTACACATACCTGAGAGGTAGGTATTAGTACCATTTTTATGAATCAGGTCACTGACATTCAAACAGGTTAAACAAGTTTTTCTGGCATCCCACAGCTACCAAGTGACAGAACCAGGATGCAAGCATATCTTTTGACTTCAAATACGGTGCCTGCACCATCTGAAGCACCTGCCTGTGCTAAGAGATCAGGCCCTTTTTACCCCTTCCACAGTCTGTCACCTTAGAATAGGTCATCATTACTTTATACTTATGTTTCTACAAGTATGGCTGCCACAAAGATACTCAATGCATACTATTTTAACGATCCCAAATGGCTTTTACCTATTAAAACACCACAAAACCAGGGACACCTGGGTGGCTCAGTCGGTTCTGGGATCTAGCCCCATGTGCTCAGCGGGGAGCCTGCTTCTCCCTCTCCCTCCGCACCTCCCCCAGCTCATGCTCTCTTTCTCTATCTCTTTCTCTCTCAAATAAATAAATAAAATCTTTTTTAAAATAAATAAATAAAACACCACTAAACCAAATTGTTATTATAATCCCAATGCTCCTTGTAAATCTACTTGACAATCCAAATATAATACTTTCAGGGCCCCTGGATGGCTCAGTCAGTTGAGTGTCCAACTCTTGGTATCAGTAGGGCTCTGCGCCCAGAGGGAGTCTGCTTCAGATTCTCTCTCCCTCTCCCTCCTGCTCACTCACTCTCTCTCTCTCAAATAAATGAATAAAATCTTAAAAAAAAAAAAATATATATATATATATATATATATATATATATATATATATATATATATATAAAAAATACTTTCAATTCCCAGGCGTTAGCTTTTCAAGTTCCAAGTTGTAAAAAACTATAATCCAAACTTTCTAGATCTCATCAGGAATTTTGCACATCCATATACACCACAGAATCACATCTGGCCATAGGTTGGCCTGGAGTAATTCTTTAGTTTTTTAGATAACTTAATTTCAAAACGCAAACTAATTCCTTATCACTCCTAAACCTCAGTTTTCTGCAATAATACTACACAGCTTTCATTAAGTTAAGCTTGCAAATTAGCAGAACTGTATTATGCTGTATTATTATATTTAGCACATAATTATTTTATCAATTACAGGTAAAAAGTATAAGGAAATAGTTTTTATGGGCAAATGCAGAGATGACAGAGTAAAGTCTAAGCATCCCTTTTATGCTTTAACATCATTCAATGCTTATATTTTAAAATAATAAGAAGAAAACAGTACCTCAGAATCCCAAGGTGATTCTCCATCTTCCTCTTCTCCTAATCCCAACGCTGACATCGTAACTATAAAATACAGTCACAGATACATTAATGAGAACATGTATTATTATGAATTTTAAACATATGTACAAGCTTATCCCCACTCATGAATATTTCAATAAAATAAAAGTAATAGTAGTAAAGATTTTCAGAGGGTTGAATTATTTTCAGGAAGAAAAAGTTGGTAGTAGTCGGGATACTTAAAAAGAAAGACAGCAAAAGAAAAATATCTTAATGAAATGCATAACAATCTGGATCTACATACTTTCAGATTTCTTTATACCAGCATTTGAGCATAGAAAAAAATTCACAGATGTTTACTAACTTACCACTACTATTACTTTTGTATGCTCTATCAGCAGAAGTCAGATGGTCATTAACTGTTTGCTCTTGTGGAGCAATTTCAGTAATATTAACACCATTGTCCTTTTTTCCAGTTGCCGGCTGCACCTCTCCTTCCTATAAAAACAACACAAAACAAAAACCCAACTTCAGAAAACATCACATTAATTCACTTGTTCACTCACTCACTCACTCAGAAAGACAAATACATACCGTACCTGTCAAGTCATAGGCACTATCGTGGGAGAAGCTGGAAATATAAACGACAGAGACTGCCCTATATGCTAGTAGGGGTAGAGATGGACCAAAACAATTAAGAACAGAAGAGTATCATTTACTAGTTCTACAGGTGAAGTGAATAAAGCACAGTGAAGGCACAAAGGAGAAAAGAGTTGCATATGGGAAGCTCAGGAAATGCTGCAGATAGGGCTGTATATTGAAAGACAGACAAGGTGCACAAGGAGGGTGCAAAGGACACTCTAGAAAAGGTAGAATGAGCGAAAGGATGAAGTATGAAATAACGCAGTAAGTGACGATAGCTCCAGAATGTGGCAAAACTGGAACACAACTTTTGGGAATGGGACAGAGAGAGATAATTGGAAAATCAGGACTGAACCAAAAAAGGCAAGTATCATGCTAGAATATGAACTTTCTCCTTCATGTAATGGGGATCCACTAAATAAGCAGAGGAGTTACATCGTCAGAAATATATTGTAGAAAGGTCTGACAGCAATGTAAAGATGAACATAAAGGAACCAAAACCAGAAGAGTATTTCAAAACTATACGTGAGAGAGTGAATTATGATAATAAGATATGAAAAATGGTAAGCAGGGACAAAATACTGAATGTGGTGATTTTTTTGTTTTGTTTTTTACTTTTTTTTTTTTAAGATTTTTTATTTATTTGTCAGAGACAGAGAAAGCACAAGCAGGAGGAGTGGCAGGCAGAGCGAGAAGCAGGCTTCCCGCTGAGCAAGGAGCCCAACTTGGGACTCAATCCCAGGACTCCCGCATCATGACCTGAGCTGAAGGCAGCCCCCTAACCGACTGAGCCTCCCAGGCATCCCTTTTTCTAATTTAAATTCAATTAATTAACATATAATGTATTACTGGTTTCAGAGGTAGAGATGTGGTGATTTTTTTTTTTTTAAAGATTTACTTATTTTGAGAGAGAGAGTGTGTGTGCATGCAGGGGGAGGGGCAGAGGGAGAGGAAGAGAGAGAATCCTCAAGCAGACTCCCTACTCAGTATGGAGCCTGTAACAGGGCTTGATACCAGGACCCTGAGATCATGACCTGAGCCAACATCAAGAGTCGGATGCTTAACCAAGTGAGCCACCCAGGTGCCCCTGGATGTAGTAATTTCAGGGAAGTTTGCAGTCCAGGATTTTTCCTGCTTCAGTGTTTCAGTGGCACAATATACTAGGATGGGGAAAACAAATGACAAAGCAGATTACAAAAAGTCAGGGAAGAGGAAAGGGTCAGAAACAAAGTCTTCAATCTGGGACATACCAAATTGGAAGCACCCAGGAGACTTAAGGAGAAAGTTTTACACAAATATATTTGGAGTAGGAAAAAATGACAGGAAAAGCCATGATGTTAATAAAACAAATATCTATAAAATATACTAACCTGATATAATTAATGTAAACCTACACAGAACTCTGAAATTTTCAGAATAAAAATAAAAGCGGGGGGGGGAAACCATGGGATTCAATATTTCATTTATATACTTCAACATTAGTTTCAAGGATAGAAAATAGACTTTTATTAATATAGGCAAGTTAGTGGGCACCTGGGTGGCTCAACTCGTTAAGCATCTGACTCTTGATTTTAGCTCAGGTCATGATCTCAGGTTTGTCAGATTGAGTCCCAAATCAGGCTCCATGCTCAGTGGGGAGTCTGCTTCTCTCCCTCTCTTTTCCTCTCCTTCTGCCCCTCCCCCCGACTCTCTCTCTCTCTCTGAAATAAATATTTAGAAAAAAATATATATATATAGGCAAGTATTAATTTCTATAACGAATAGCATTTTTAAGATTAATAAAAAGATTTAATTGCAAAACACCAAGATTTTGTAAGAATAATTTTCTAAAAATTAATTTTAAAAGATTTAAATTGTAGAAGAGAAATACTTATAGGATTATAGAATTTTGAGGCATCTTTAAGTACTACTACAATGTACGAGAAAAATATAAAGCCCTATTTTAAAATTCACATGATTTTCTTATTCCACTGTGAACAGCATACTAATAGCTCTAATTTCCTATCAATGAATATAGGATGGTAGTTAAAGACTGGGGAAAGAATCTAGTATTAAAAAATTAATAATCATGATCATCCAAGTTGAAGGTTTTAAAGTCTCCAAATACATGTATGATCATCAAGCAGGACCCAATATTCACAGGAGGAAAGAAGAAAGGGACAAAAAAAAAATCAAATCACCAGTATTTCTGAATTTCAGATATGAAAGAATTCACATGTTAAATTTAACAACTATGGGGCGCCTGGCTGGCTCAGTCGGAAGAGTGTGTGACTCTTGATCTCAGGGTTGTAAGTTCAAGCCCCATGTTGGGTGTAGAGATTACTTAAAATTTTTTAAATCTAAAACAAAAATTAACAACGATGAATACTAAAGTTTCCTGAGAATAATATAAAATGTATCTACTATTGGAGATATTTGAAAAAGTAAAAATCATCTTCCAGAAATAATTCTGTATACTCTGTTGGCAACCTTTCCTTCCTTATGATTCTACAATGACAAACAGTTCATATTAGAAAAAAAACTATAAATTGTGAGTTCATTCATTTGATGTGTGTCTGTGTATCTATTAAATGCAGATACAATTAAAAATAAATTATAAATCACAATCCAGAAATAAAATTTTCTATTTTTTCTTTAAGAGTGTTACAGCTTAAAATTTATTTCATTTATTGGATAAAGATTAAGAACCTCACTTACATAATCAGAAATTTCAGTTTTAATTAATGAAAAGACTAAATGCTTACTTATTTCCTCTCTTTAGTCTCAAAAAGATCTAAAACCTACCAAGATTCTACCACACAGGAAGTTAAATCAGAAACCACAAGAAAGGGCACCTGGGTGGCTCGGTTGGTTTAGAGTCTGCCTTCAGCTTAGGTCATGAACTCAGGGTCCTTGGATTGAGTCCTGCATCAGGCTCCCTCCTCAGTGGGGAGTCTGCTTCTCCCTCTGCACCTCCCCCTGCTCGTGCACTCACACTCTCTCTCTCTCACAAAAATAAATATATAAAATCTTAAAAAAGAAAGAAAGAAAGAAACCACAAGAAAGACAATGGCCAAAAATTCAAAATTCATAATAAATCTGATTAAGGCCTAAAACAGATTCCACTTTGCATTATCTATAAACACAGGTTTTGCTAAATTAAATATAAGATAGCACACTTTATTAAACTTAAATGGAAGGATAAAATTTTCTTCCAGTTCTTCATAAAAGTCAGCTGTAAGTCATTCAGAAGAGTCTAAGCATTTTTTTTATTACTTCACGTTGTTTTCTTATTTTGCACTTAAAATAATTTCTACCATATTTTGTAATATAGAGTATCTGCTCTCCCTTAGCCTCACTACTGCTGTTGTCTTTTTATAATAATCTCTCTCAACTCTTCAATCTTTACATTCATCTTGCCCTTCTTAAATGAATTCTTCCCCCCACCCCCTCCCTCATCTTCACATCCATCTAGCTGTTCTTTCCAGTTGCTTTCTAATTCTTTCCTTCCATAATGGCATACCTAAGAATTGTTTACTCCCACCAACCTTTATAAATCTCAATCTGGTACTTACCTCTCTGTTGTTATTATTTCCCCTTATGATCTTGAGGACTTCTGTTTTTTCCTAAGATTCTTTTCATTATAAGGATCAAGAGGATGGTATGTGAAAAAAAATAGGGAAAAAAGCTTAAAACAGAACAACTTACCTTTATAACACCATGGCCTGCTAACGATTTGACAGAAGGTTTTGAAAAAGCAGGACAAGAAAAGTCATTGGCTTTGAATGGTGGTTTGTAAAGAAGTCCAACTATATTTTCATCTTCATAATCAGAATTATCGTGCTCAGATAAAGTTCTACCTCCTAGTGTTATAAGGCCACATTTTGTTCCCACTTAGTAAAAAACAAAATAAAAAGAACATGAAAATATCTGTAATTTCGAATTACTGAATAATACAAGAATGGGCAAAAATTAGTGAATAACACGTCTTCAAATAGCTTACCATTCTTGAATTGCTCAGAAGCATTCATTAGCGCTCTCAAGTTTGGTTTTGGGACAGTCTAGAAAAAAATTAATAGTTTTAAGGATTACAAGTATCACATTTGATAAAATAATTATAATATTCCCCATTATCAAATGAGCACCACTACACAGAGAACACAGGTTTTGGAATCATTCAAATGGAGATTCAAATCTCAGTTCTGCCATTTACTAAGCTTATATTTTCTCCTGGGATGAGGATTATGAGAGATTTAATAGCTAGTCCCAAAATGTTATTTTCCTTACCCCTAACTGATTATTATATAAATTCTTCCTCAAAAAGTTAAAAGTAAAGCTACCCTACAACCCAGCAATTGCACTACTAGGTATTTATCCAAAGGATACAAACATAGTGATCTGAAGGGGCACCTGCACCCCAACAATTTACTTTATAGTGAAAAAATTAAATTCTTTACTACAGTTTTTTTAAACAAATAAATGTAGAGTGAGAAAAGTCAGTGTTATTAGGGATATACTATGAACGAAAGCCTCTGTTTTAGATATATTTATAATATATATGTAATGTATATATTTACAATATATACATAATATATATATTTATAATATGTAATTCAAAAAATTTAAGAGACTTCTGTTTATAGTATATCCATAATCATATTTACATATACTGAAAAATATTTTTTCCACTTACCTTTACCTTATCAGTACCTGAAAGTTATAAATTATTACTATAGAGAGAAAAAAATAGAAAAAGAAATGTTTCTAACACATCAACTTTCCACATGGAGAAAGAATTGGTAATGAGAATTCTAAGGAGAAATGTACACCTTGAAAGGATATATCTAATGAGACACAGATGGGGTTAAAGAAAAAAGTTGAGGAATTTTTATCTAAAATTCTGAGCTCATGGGGTGCCTCGGTGGCTCAGTCGGTTGGTTAAGCATCTGCCTTTGGCTCGGGTCATGATCCCGGAATCCTGGGATTGAGCCCCACATCGTGCTCCTGGCTCTGCGGGGAGCCTGCTTCTCACTCTGACTCTCTCCCCTCTCATGCTGTTTCTCTCTCTCAAATAAATAAATAAATAAAATCTTAAAAAAAAAAAAAAAGAAAATTCTGAGCTCACAATTAGAGGATACTAAAAAATATACTGTAACCTTTTTTCTTATTTATTTATTTCCTCAACATCATTCATTTGCACTTATAAATCTTAAACATAAAAAGGGAATATAGGGCATCTGGGTGGCTCAGTTGGTTAAGCGACTGCCTTCAGCTCAGGTCATGATCTTGGAGTCCCGGGATTGAGTCCCACATCGGGGGCGGGGGGGGCGCCTGCTCAGCGGAGGGTCTGCTTCTCCCTCTGACCCTCCCCACTCTCATGTGGTCTCTCTCATTCTCTCTCTCTCAAATAAATAAATCTTTTTTAAAAATAGGAATATAAATTTGAGCCATATTTTTAAAAATTCATGTATTTAATTATGACACACTATGCACATTACTTATAACATTCCATTATACAGAATTCCACCTGTCTGCTCATTTATTCACATTCAAAAAATATTAAATTGCTTCTTCCAAGCAAGACTTTATTCTAGGTGTTCCAGGAGATGGACAATTACGTTTCCTAACATCCAGTAGCTTATAATGATGCAGGGACTTTAAAATGAATATTTAAATAAGAATGAAATTTTAAATTGTAGAATCTGATACAAAGATTGAGTAGATATTTTTAAAAACTGTAATATAAAAGATTTCTGAAATTGGACATTTTACCATATGGGTATGAAGAGCCTCTGCTTCTAGAGCTGATTATTTTAGACAAAACATGTATTCTTCACTTAGATAAAGTTTTAACTATACTCTTAACAGAATTATTTTGAAAACACAGTGGAATACCTTTGCAATATAAATTTTGAGAATTTAAATTTCTGAATTTCCACAATTTCTAATATTATTTTAGTCTAAATGTACAACAAAGGATAAAAATAGAGAAAAAAGTCTTTTGTAAAACTATATGTTACCAAGGAAAAAATGTCCGCAATAATTGAATCCACTAAAGATTTCATTTAGGCATGAGTATTATAAATGTCATATTAAGAAAGAAAAGTCATGTTAAGATAACTTAAAACTCACAGAAAAATCCTTATCCTTGACCAAATATCTTATTTCCTCCATTATGGAAAAGCTTTTCCCAATATAATTTTCCTGTCATTATGTATTTTCCAGCCCATTTTTTTCAGCCTCCACCTTCAGTATTTACCAGAGTAAAAAAAAAAAAAAAAAAAAAAAAAATTTCTACAAAATGGTTTGTTCTGACCCACTTTCCATTACAAACAAAATGATGATAGGTAGGCCACTGCTAAATTTTAAGAGTAAATAATATACAAACTAAATTCAGAGCAGGAAAACAAATTTCACAAGAGTACTTTACCTTGATATCAAAATTAAAGTCTTCATCATCTGATGTAGGCCATGAATCATCAGTACCAGGTTTAACAGAAATACTTTAGAGCAAAAACATCAACAAAAACAAGTTCATTAAAAAGAAAAATCAAATGAAAGGTCAGCTATTTACTGAATGAAGTTTCTTGATATACTTAAAATTTGGCCTCTGTTTTTGTTAAGTTTTTATTTTAAATCCTATATCATTAACATACAAATGCTATATTAGTTTCATGTACACAATATAATGATAGGGCAATTCCATACATCACCCAGTGCTCATCATGACAAGTGCATTCCTTAATCTCTGTCTCCTAATTCACCCATTCCCCCACCCATCTCCCCTCTGGTAACCATCAATTTGTTCTCTATCGTTAAGAGTCTGTTTCTTGGTTTGTCTTTTTTTTTTTTTTTCCCTTTGCTCATTTTTATTGTTTCTTAAATTCTACATGAGTAAAATCATATGGTATTTGTCTTTCTCTAACTGACTTCACTTAGCATAATACTCTCTAGTTCCACCCATTTCATTGCAAATGGCAAGATTTCATTCTTTTCTATGCCTGAATAATATTCCATTGTGTATGTATATCACTTCTTTACCCATTCATCTATCAATGGACACTTGGGCTGACTCTTGTAAATAATGCTGCAGTAAACATAGGAGTGCATGTATCCCTTTGAATTGGTGTTTCCGTATTTTTTGGTAAATACCCAGTAGTGCAATTACTCGATTATAGGGTAGTTCTATTTTTAACTTTTTGAGGAAACTCCATACTGTTTCCCACAGTGGCTGCACCAGTTTGCATTCCCACCAACAATCCAAGAGGGTTCCTTTTCCTCCACATCCTCGCCAACACTTGTTTCTTGTGTTTTTGATTTTAGTCATTCTGACAGGTGTGCAGTGGTGTCTCATTGTAGTTTTGATTTGCATTTCCCTGATGATGAGTGATGTTGAGCATCTTCTTAGGTGCCTGTTGACCATCTGTATGTTTTCTTTGGAAAAATGTCTGTTCATGTCTTCTGATCATTTTTCAACCGGGTTGTGTTTTGGGTGTTGAGTTCTATCAGTTCTTTGTATTTGTATACTAACCCTTTATCAGCTATGTCATTTGCAAAGATCTTCTCCTATTCATAGGTTGCCTTTTCATTTTGTGGACTGATTCCTTCACTGTGCAAAAGCTTTTGATTTTGATGTAGTCCCAATAGTTTATTTTTGCTTTTATTGTTCTTGCCTCAAGAGACATAATTAGAGAAAAACAAACAAACAAAAAAACAAAAAACCACTGCTACAGCCAATATCAGAGAGATTACTGCTTGTGCTCTCTTCAAGTATTTGATTTCAGGTGTCACATTTAGGTCTTAAACCCATTTTTGAGTTTATTTTTAAAGAAAGTGGTCCAGTTTCATTCTTTTGCATGTAGCTGTCCAGTTCTCCCAACACCATTTGTTGAAAAGACTGCTTTTTCTCCATTGGATATTCTTTCCTGCTTTGTCAAAGATTAATTGACCATATAGTTATGGGTTTATTTCTGGGGTTTTCTGTTCTATTCCACTGATCTATATTTGTTTTTTGCCAGTACCATACTGTTTTGATGACTACAGCTTTGTAATATAACTTGAAATCTGGAATTGTGATACTTCCAATTTGTTTTTCAATATTGCTTTGGCTATTCGAGGTCTTCAGTGGTTCCATACAAATTTTAGGATTGTTTGTTCTAGTTCTGTGAAAAATGTTGGTATTTTAATAGGCATTGCATTAAATCTGTAGATTGCCTGGGGTAGTATAGACATTTTAACAATATGTGTTTTTCCCATTCATGAGCATGCAACATCTTTCCACTTCTTCTGTCTTGACACAATTTCTGTCATCAATGTTTTATAGTTGTTAGAGTACAGGTCTTTCAAAATTTGGTCTCTGTTTTTAAGAAGGTTTTCATTATCTATCTTGCCTCCACCTCTCTGAAGATGTGAAATACCTAGTAAAGACCCAGTCTTAGTTCCCATAACTAAGAGTGACAGGTAAGGAATTCTCTGAAATGTTTGAAAGTTAATTGTTCAAAAGTTAACCACAATGAATTATCGCCTTACACCTGTCAGAATGGCTAGAATCAAAAACACAAAAAACAAGTGTTGGTGAGGATGTAGAGAAAAAGGAACCCTTGTGCACTGGTGATGGGGATAGAAAATGGTGTGAAAAACAGTATGGAGGTTCCTTGAAATATTAAAAATAGAAATACCATGTGATCCAGTAATTCCATTACTGGTTACTTACTTTCCCAAAGAAAATGAAAACACTGATTTCAAAAGATATATACACCCCCATGTTTACTGCAGCATTATTTACAACAGCCAATATATGGAAACAACCCAAGTGTCCATCAACAGATGTATCTCTTACACACACACACACACACACACACAGAGGAATGTTACTCAGCCATAAAAAAGAATATGATCTTGCCATTTGCAACAATGTAGATGTACCTAGAGGGTATTATGCTAAGTGAAATAGTCAGAGAAAGACAAATACTGTATGATTTCACTTATATGTAGAATCTAGAAAGCAGAACAAATGAACAAACAAAAAGCAGAAACAGACCCAGAAATAGAGGGAATTCTGTATTGCCAGAAGGGAAGGGTTGGGGGACGGACAAAATGGGTGAAGGGGAATGGGAGGTTCAGGATTCCAGTTATAGTAAGTCACAGGGATACAAGTACAGCATAGGGAATATAGTCAATGGTATTGTAATAGCATTATGCAGTAACAGATAGTAGCTACACTTGTGGTAAGCATGTGTAACATATAGAGTTGTTCAAGCACTACCTTGTACACCTGAAACTAACATAACATCTTGTGTCAACTATGCTTCAATTAAAAGAAATAAATATATAAATGTTAAAGAACAAATTTATGTTATTAGTGGGAATACTATTCCCAGATTAAAAGATTAAAAATTATAAGGTTCAAATTTTTTCCTTCACAGGTCCTGCCTTATTTAGGTCTACATAAACGAGCAAGACCTTAAAAACCTTCATAGGCACTCAGATACCCAAGAAGAGAGACTGCTATAAAAACAGAGTCCGGGTGGCTGTGCCTCTATTTCCCTATACACTGCCTAATATTTTCTTTCTGTGAGTTCCCACACCTATTATCACTCTTCTGCAGGGCTCAGTGGTACTCTCCAACCTTTAAGTCTTTAGTCTATGAAAGCACAGACTCCAAAACAAGGATAGGCTCAAATGTCCAAGAGTAGGAGCCATTTCCTGCTCCTGGAGAACAAGCGAAATGGAGTTTCAGTCATCCATGGAGTCATCTCAACATAGACATGTTACCAACTACCCAAATAAAATCCTGTTACTGATTTGACAGCCAGTCATACCCCACCAAACCCTACATGTACATGGGCAAGGCATCAGAGAATTAAGAAAAGAGGTGGAGTGAGGAGACCGCTACCTTGGGCCATACATCTATGTTGTGTAGAATCTCCATTCCGCCTATTACTCAAGAGGATCTAAGCCACTCTCTGTAAGTTGGGGTGGAAGTAGATGATACCACATTCTTATATGCTGTAAAAAGATTCTTCCCAGTGGCTCAAATGATTTTAATATCTCTCAACAGAAAACCTGAAGTATGCTAGTTCATTCAATTAAACCAACAAACAAAAAAGCTGCTCAAGATTCTCTTCAACCCTCTATTTTAATATGCCTTTCTAAACAACTCCCAATATCCTGTGTCCTTCATTCCTTTGTGTGTGTGTGTGTGTGTATCCGTCATTCCTATAATTCATCTTTATCTAACTTATCATAAACCCCAATATTCTGACATCTTTTCTAAAACTATCCAACCCAGTGTTATTCTTCTTGAAACTTGGCCTCTCCTGCTAATTCCTTTCTTACCCCCCTTCACTGTGTTCACAAGACCCCCTCCCCATCTTTCAATTATTAAAACATTTACCTACAAGATGAGAAAAAAGGAAAAAACCTGAATTTAAATCTCATTTCTGTCACTTATCATATCCAAGTAAGTCACTTTTAATCTCTTTTGAGTTTCAAATTCTCCATTTAAACAACCACTTGGTGAGGATGTTGAACATAGGTTGCAGTACCAGAGGGTATTTTGATTAATTCATCTCTAAGATTCCTTAAGATCCTGAAATTCTATGTGCTTTTGATTTTGTCTATAGAAACACAGAGACTATTTAGCTGGCAGAAATGGAAACAATTAATGGACTAAAAGAAACACCAAGAAAAGCAGAGAATAAAGTAAAAAAAAAAAAAATCAAGAAAAGATTATAGAAAAGTCATGGAGAAAAAGAAAAAGGTCTACCAAAAAAAAGAAGAAGCTTCAAAGAACTAGTCAAGGGTACTAGCCTAGGGAAAACTAGACTGGGAAGTCAGTAAGTAGAGAATCATTTAGAAATATCCTCTAAATAGATGATAAATTTAATTAATGCAACATGGTCTACACCTAGATTACATATCCTTCACTTCTGGAAAAATCATTCATCTCAAGGAGAGCAGACATCACTATATCTAAGAATTTGCCTGATTAGGTCTTGCTTATGTAAAAGCTATGTACTGTGGCCATAGGTAACTGAGATCCACCCTAAAAAATCTTTGACAGTAAAAACAACAGACTAGTTACCACTGCAGTAATTATCTCTAGTTATCACTAGTTGTCAAATATATTAGGACAAATGCTTGAACTAACCTGGTTTCTTAAGAAAACTCTAAATCAGGGTTAACACATAACTAAATTTGACTGAGTTGATCTGACTAGGATCTGTATCTTAATCCCAGTGCTACTGAGGGACAAAAGAATGGAGATGGGAGTCACACAGGCTGACAGTCAAATCATGGGTCTGCTACTCATTAACTATGTAATCACAGGTCAATTAATCAACCTCCCTGCACCACAGCTGACTAATAAAAAATAGGCTATAATAGCAGAGCTACTTTGTGAAGCTATTGTAATGACTATATAAGTAATAAGTGTCAAGCACATAATATAGTGTCTAGCCCAGAGCAGAACTCAACAAATGCTTTTCTCTGCATTCCCTTAGTTAACACATAATTTGAAAGACTCCATAAAAATCCTACCTGCTTAAAGACTCTTCTTCAGCACTCTTATCTGCCACTAAAGAAAAAAGCAAAATACATTTTAAATCAACAATAGAAAAATACAGAATATTAAAAGTATAAGACTGATGATTTGTTAAAAAGTATTCCTTCAAGATCACACCTGGAAACCACACTGGAATGAGTATTAATTATATTATTGGTAGGCAGTTAATGCATTAAGAAATCTTACTTTCTCCTCTACATTTACCAAATGCAAGAAAAGAATGGTATTTATCAGAATTTGATACCTCCAAGTGAATGTTTATAATGACCATAATTGTAACCAAACCCTATGAGACTGACAGAAAACGGTATCATTAGCAGAATCATTATCATAGACCGACACTGTTAAACCTAAATAACATGATTCTTCTGGACTTCCACTACTAGGAGCAGTTAAAAGAGACTGCATTTATTTTGCTGTAACACAACAGAACTTCTCCAGCTCTTCAGCAGAGACTGTTAAGTTTAGGATGAAACATCTCATCACAAACTTTGGTCTATAGCCACTGTACTTTGCAGCATGGCAAAACATAGCAAACAGACTCTCTCTGGCCTTATTTCCAATTGCAGGTAAGTATGAAAGATTTTAGTGATTTTAGTGATTCTGGTTTTATAAAGTATAACCTCTTGAGACTATCTACTTTCATTGCTAGAGAGTCTATCTGGACCCATCTCTTAGACCAGAATGGTACCAATGGTTAGTGCTAGGTAGTAGTACATGATATCATTGTTCTCAACCCTCCCCATTATGTGACAAATGTCTATAGAAATCACAGTTTTTCAGTCTGTAAGGCATATGTCATCAGATCCTACACTGATGAACACAAAACAAAACAAAGGACAAAGAATATCTTGAATCACTACATTCAATTACCTTGGAATTTTAATTTTTCAAACATTCAAGAAGAGGGGCGCCTGGGTGGCTCAGTCGGTTAAGCGGTTAAGCATCTGCCTTCAGCTCAGGTCATGATCTCAGGGTCCTGAAATCAAGCCCTGCATCGGGCTCCCTGCTCAGTGGGGGTGTCTGCATCTCCCTCTCCCTCTGCCCCTCCCCCTCCTCGAGTTCTCTCTCTCTCTCTCAAATAAATAAATAATATCTTTAAAAAAATAAAATAAAATAAAAATAAATAAATAAATAAACATTCAAGAAGATATCCACTGTATGATTGCAACTATATGACATTCTGGAAAAAGTAAAACTTTTCAAGTTAGGAGTTAAGGGTTGCGGCAAAAGGAGGGATGAATAGGCACAGCACAGAGGACTTTTAAGGCAGTGAAACTATTCCAGTTCATTATATATTTGTTAAAACCAATAGAATGTACAACACCAAGACTGCACTGAAATGTAAATTATGGACTTTGGATGATAAAGATGAGTTAATGTAAATAAAACAATGTATCCCTGTGGTACAGGATGTTTGCAACAGGGGAGGCTATGCATGTATGGGAACATGGGGTAAATGGAAACTCTGTACTTTCTGCTATATTTTGCTGTTAACTTGAAAATGTTCTAAAAAGTAAGGTCTATTTATCGTGAAGGAAAAAAAAGGTATCCATTAAGCCTGCTATCACCATGTATTAAAGTAAGATACAGCCACCGTGAAAATTAAGGTAAAGACCGAAGTAACAGAATACAGGTATTATCCACCAAATTGAAGTATATGAAAATACATAAAGCAAATAATTTTAACTGCATACTTAGGCAAGAAAATAATTGACAATTATATAATCGAATCTTATAAACAGGGATTCACTATCATATGAAACAAAACTGGATTATCTATATAATTAAGAATTTTTATTCTAATTTTAAATCAGAAACCATTGTTTAATCTAAGAATCACAATGAAAGTTTAATAAGGTAAAAAAAAGATTATAATTACCTAATATTGCCCCAGTAATTTATGTACAAATACCTGTTAAATATTCACCAAAAGTCAAAAAAGTAACCAGCACTTCATTTAATACAGATCATGCTACTGAAACCAGTACCATGTGATACCATCATATTTCTTGCTGTTAAAATAAAATCTTAAAACAACAACAAAAATTAAGTCAGGGCTATAATTCCTATGCAAAAAAGATTCCATAGAGCAGGCCAAAGACTGCCACCATTAGATCCCACTTGAATGGCTGGCCCTTGGTTGGTATCCGGGAACTTGGATTTGGGGAGGGTTCCCACCATTCCATAGCTGGTAAGAGTGGCTGTGCCTAAGTGTTGGTACAAACCAGGTGTCTTATCCTGTATACTTGATTTCCTTCAGGGAGCCTGGAATTTTGGTATACGCTAGGGAGAAGATGCCTACATGATTATCATTTCAAGAAAACTTCAGGCACTGAGTCTCTACAAGATTCTTGTACTGGCAGACAACATTTCATATGTGTTGTCATAATTTGATGCTGGAGGAATTAAGCACATAACTTGATGCTGGAGGAATTAAGCACAGCCATAGGCAGAGGATTCTTAGAAGCCTGCACTTGGTTTCCTCTAGACTTCACTCCATGCACCTTTCCTCTGTGCTGATTTTGCTTTGTATCCTTTCACCGTAATAAACCAAAGGCATGAGTACAAATATGCTAAGACCTGTGAGTTCTTCTAGTGAATAACCAAATCTGGGTGTCGATCTGGGAATCTCTAATACAACTGCATTATATGAAATTTTTATGATTTGGGTTGATATTTTATACATGATTACAGTCAGACGGTTATTTCACAGAACACCTTTACTTGAATCTGGTTTTCTTAGTATCTGCCTTGGAGATTCCTGTTTTTCTATACCCATCTGAATAAAGGCATAAAAAGAAGAGATGACATAATGATCGGAAAATAATGTCAAACAAGCAACAATCTTATTTTAATCAGGAAAAAAAAAGAGAATCCTGATGATTACCAAAATGTTCTACAGTATAAAATTTCCTATAAAAAAAATGAAAAGATCACATAAATTTTCTCCAACTAAATAGGGATTAATTCAGGGCGCATGGGTGGCTCAGTGGTTAAGCGTTTGACTTCAGCTCGGGTCATGGTCCCAGGGTCCTGGGATTGAGCCCCACATCGGGCTCCCTGCTCAGCGGGAAGCTTGCTTCTCCCTCTCCCATTCCCCCTAGTTGTGTTCCCTCTCTCGCTGTGTCTCTCTCTGTCAGATAAATAAAAAAAAAATCTTAAAGAAAATAAATACATAAATAAATAGGGCTTAATACCATTTTTATGGTAGTTATGAATCAATAAGGTAACTGGGATAATTATAGAAAAATATGTAACTATCATACACAGTTTAACAACACACTATTGATTATAGTTTTGTTTCCAGTCTTTTCCTTAATTTCTTACAGAATTAAAAGCATAGTTCACCTATTAAAGGCAGTTGTCGACAAACTAGTCAAAAAGCCAAAAATAGGATGCCTGGGTGGCTCAGTCGTTAAGCGTCTGCCTTCGGCTGAGGTCATGATCCCAGGATCCTGGGATCGAGTCCCACATCAGGCTCCCTGCTCCGTGGGAAGCCTGCTTCTCCCTTTCCCACTCCTCCTGCTTGTGTTCCTGCTCTTGCTATCTCTCTGTGTGTCAAGTAGATACATAAAATCTTAAAAAAAAAAAAAAAAAAGCCAAAAATACTCCATCCAAAATATGAGTTATCCGCTCCACCCTGAAAATAGTGGATTTGATCATTAAAGATCAATAGGGCTCATTTGGGGGAAAACAAAGTGAGTTATCTTATATACATAGATGGTTAAAAACTTAATAATCTAATTGGCCACATATTCTTGTTAAGTCACAGTTTACCAATTTCTGGAAAAAATATAAAAGCATGTCACATTAAAAGTGTATCAGATAAAAATTTCTGACAATCCAGAAAATGCTTTCAGTCTTGGCAGACCATCATCACTAACTTTGTCACTGTGATACAGATACAAAGAAATTTAGCACAAGAAACTAATAAAATATGAGATACACTTTAGATTAGGTAGCCCATTACCTTAGAAGGAAATACACATATATGTCAAACATACATATGGTAGAAATGTGTTCTAATAGTGTTGGATTCCAAGACAATTTTCCTTAGCGCTTTCTTTAGAGATGAAATTCAGAAAGGAGCAGTAGAAGTGGAGATATTAGAAGAAGGCAAATGAAAAGAGGATCAAGAGAGACAACACTAACCAAAATAGTCAGGTATTGACTGTTTTTACTGACACAGAATTCCTAAACTAGTGAGACTAGTATATTCAGTGTATCACCTTATCTTTTCTCCTCGGTATTATACTAGTTTTCTGCAATAAAATATTTAAAAGAGGTCAAAAGGCTCCAAACTGCAGGTCTGTAAACTATTTCTGATCAAAATTTAAAACTCTCAAAATACAGCTGCATCATGATTCCATATCAGAGATAGGGCCTGACAGTGGCTTCCTGCCTGTTGCTGTTTTTGTTTTTGTATTCATCCAGAAGAGTGTATCAAGGACTTGAGGAAAAACTCAAGTATCTCCACCAGAAACAGGTAAGAAAGACAACACTTTTCCTCACACTTGACTCCTAGGTTTTGACAATTATGGAAAAATGTTGGCAAGTCTACTCACCAGGCTAGACCATTTTCCCTTGACCCTGTCCGGGTAGATACTGCAGTTACAAAAAAGTTACGTAGGACCTTACTTGATGTGTTATTTTTCCATATTTGGACGTAGAAAGTACCAATCATGTAAATAATAGATCGTACAACTCAAAAATTCTTTTGAAAAGGTTACCACCAAAGAGCTTTTAAAAGTTAAATCCAACTTTCTTTTCAGTAATTTCTTTCTTTTCAGTAATACGCCTCCTTGAAATATTTTTTTAATTTTTTCACCATCACTTCCTCTAATTCCTCTCTTACGTTTCCCCAGTCACTCCTCAGTCTTCTCTACTAACTCCTACTCCTCCATCCACCCTTATATTTTGGTATTCCCAGGGTTTGTTCACTGGCCTCCTTCTCATTCTATATGTTTCTCCACCATGGACAAGCTCAATCTTTGTCCAAGCTATCACTTTGCTTAATAATTCTAATCAGATTATTTCAAATCTGCACCTCCAACCTTGAAGCTCTACCTCCAGCTAGAAACCTCCTAGTATTCGATTATCCAATTACTGAAAATATACTACATGGACATTCCATCAAATTCAACATATACAGAAAAAAACCTGGTCTTCCCTACTCCCACCACTCTCCACTCTTCATCCGATAAAGTCCTACTCATTCTTCATGTCCAATTTAAATGCCAGTGTTCAACCTGGAAACACATGAATCTTCTTAGATTTCCTCTCTCCCCTAACTTTTTACATTCAATAATCACGAAATCATATTAACTATACTTCTTTTCTGTCTCTGCTTTATATTTCCCCTGCCACTGCCCTACTCAAACATGAGCTCTTAACTGATGACTTCCAGAGGGGAAAAAAAAGCCACCAACTATTATGGTTATTTCTTAAATTAATAAAAAATTTTTAAGCAAAATGAATGAGAAAGGGGGCACGTGGGTGGCTCAGTCAGTTAAGCATCTGCCTTCAGCTCAGGTCATGGTCTCAGGGTCCTGGGATCAAGCCCTGCATCGGGCTCCCTTTTCAGTGGGGAGTCTGCTTCTCCCTCTCCCTCTGCCCCTGCCCCTCTGCCCCACTGTGCTCCCTATCTCTCTCTCTCTCTCAAATAAAGAGAATCTTTAAAAAAAATTGTTTAAATTTTTAAAAATGAGAAAGACATAAAGCCTAGAAAAAGAACAACATTTTAAATTGAATAAACTGAGCCTCCTGACTTTTTCAGTATAGAAGGGTGAAAATTTCATAATGGACTGATACTAGGCTAAGGAAATATAAGCTTCCTTTGTCTTCCAGTCTCTTTACATGGTTTCCTTCAATATATCCTCCACATGAGGGGCCAGCAAACTACGGCCACAGGCCAAGTCCGACCTGCCATCTGGTTCTGTAAATAAAGTTTTATTGGAGCACAGCCACATCTATTCACCTATATATTGCTATGGCTGCTTTCACCCTACAATGGTAATTGGAGTTGAGAAACCACATGGCCTAAAATAGTCACGATCTGGCCCTTGAAAGAAAAAGCTTGGTGATCCCTATTTTATGCCATAACCAGAGGGCCCTAATTCAAATCTAATCTTATTATCCTTCTGCTTCAAATTCTCCAATGAATCCCTGCATCAAATACTGCTGGCTCCCTCCCCAATGGCCATTCCGTAATTCTTCATTCTTGCTGCAGAACTACAACTTTATTTGGATATTTGTTGTCCCCATACAGAAAGAAGGTGGCCTCACCCCAGCTTCAAAATGAGAAATGATTATTCTAAGCTATTCACAGTACCTGATTTACCAGTGACTGGTTTAGGAACAAGCATGCGATACACCCTAGCCTAGAAAATGTTAGAGGAAATTCACTGTAAGCCTCTGAGTATTCTTATTTAAAAGAAACATATAGGGGCGCCTGGGTGGCTCAGATGGTTGAGCGTCTGCCTTCGGCTCAGGTCATGATCCCAGGGTCCTGGGATCGGGTCCCACATTGGGCTCCCTGCTCCTTGGGAGCCTGCTTCTCCCTCTGCCTCTCTCTCTCTCTCCCTGCCTCTCATGAATAAATAAATAAAATCTTTAAAAAATAAAAAAATAAAAGAAACATATAGGGGGGACCTCGGTGGCTCAGTCGTTAAGCGTCTGCCTTCAGCTCAGGTCACGATCCCAGGGTGCTGGGATTGAGCCCTGCATCAGGCTCCCTGCTCCGCAGGAAGCCTGCTTCTCCCTCTCCCACTCCCCCTGCTTGTGTTCCCTCTCTCGCTGTCTCTCTCTCTCTGTCAAATAAATGGATAAAATCTTAAATAAATTAATTAGTTAATTAATGAAAGAAACATATAAAGAAAAACAGTCCTTCCAGTCATTGGATATTATCATGTGAGACTAGGCCTGGAGCTGTTGCTAATTAGCCAACCAGGAAGGGAGACATAAAATACTGCCAACCTCAAAGCTGAACAAGAGACAACTGGGACCCTGATGACATCACTGAACCATCAAAACAATTCTAGTTCCTATTGTTTTAGTCACTGTTTTGTTTTTGGGTTTTTTTTTTAGATTTATTTATTTGAAAGAGAGAGAAAGAAAGGAAGCGTGCAATAGAGTGCAAGAATTGGGGGAAGGGAAGAGGAAGAGAATCTTCAAGCCCACTCCGTGCTGAGCACGGAGCCCAACGTGATGTGGGGCTTGATCTCATGACCCGAGACTGTGTAAAACCAAGAGTCAACACTTAACTGACTAAGCCACCCAGGTGCCCCTGTTTTAGTCACTGTTATAAGTCACCTATTATTTGCAGCTAAAAGCATTTTACCTGATAAAGTTACCAAGGTCTATGGGGCGCCTGGGTGGCTCAGTTGGTTAAGCGACTGCCTTCGGCTCAGGTCATGATCCTGGAGTCCCAGGATGGAGTCCCGCATCGGGCTCCCTGCTAGGCAGGGAGTCTGCTTCTCCCTCTGACCCTCCCCCCTCTCATGTGCTCTCTCTCATTCTCTCTCAAATAAATAAATAAAATCTTTAAAAAAAAAAAAAAAGTTACCAAGGTCTACAGGGTAAGATCTACTCCTTTCCATACGACTGAAAAACTTTCATAAGCTTGCCTTAGCTAAGTGTTCACCTCATTCCAACCATTCCCATAGCACACTTTTTGTACTGGCAAAACTGAACTGCTCATAAATCCTCCAAAGGTCACTCGTACATCTTAGCCTTTGCACTGCTGTTCCGTCTGCAAAACATGTCATCTTGATGGATGTTTCTCCTGCCAAACATCGTCCTTCTGCCACTTTACCTGGCAAACTTACTATTCATTCTGCATACTTACCCTAAATTCTACCCACTCTCCTAAAACTCTAATTCCTCACTATGGACATAGTATCTGGAACATATTAAATACCAATAAAAAAATAACAATGGTAATTATAAGCACTAGGGGACTCTGGCACATAGTAAGCACTGAATAAAGTAGAGTAAATAATAAAAATGACAATGATAATAACAAATTCCTGGAGGGCAGGGATTGTATTTTTTGAATGTTTGCATTCTACAACATCAGAATAACACTTAGGAACTAAAAGACACTTGACAGTTATTTGTTAAGTGAACAAATGAAAATAAGTAAATTGCAAAACCAATAGACAGTTACCCTAAAAAAAAAAATGTCTCATTGGTATTGCTGCATACTAGCTAAGTTTTGCAGTTCTTATTGTTTGCCATTTGTTTACGATACCAGGAAGGTATTGTAAAGTCCCCAGTTTTAAGGATAGTTCCTTTTTTTTTTTTTTTAACTTTTCCCCCTATTTTATTTTTTAGATTTTATTTATTTATTTGACAGAGAGATAAAGAGAGAGCACAAGTAAGCAGAGAGGCAGGCAGACGGAGAGGGAGAAGCAGACTCTCCACCAAGCAGGGAGCCCGATGCGGGACTCGATCCCAGGACCCTGGGATCATGACCTGGGCCGAAGGCAGCCACTTAACCGACTGAGCCACCCAGGCACCCCAAGGATAGTTCCTTTTTTAATGAGACAAATCACTATATAATAATATTTACTAAATGTAATCCACTTGTAAAAATTAAAAGATCCATTTTCATAACAGGTTCAATTTATTATAATATGCTTATAGAGAAAACATAAAACATACTAACTTAAAAATCTCTTTTTCTTATTTACACAAAGATATCATATGGGATTTTAGGGGTCATGACTAAAATAATGAATTTCTTTTCAGACAATACCGCCTCATATTTTAAATTACCTACAATTAACTTCTTTTGTTGTTGTTGTTCATACGGAGGTACTTTATTTAATTTTTTTTATTATGTTCAGTTAGCCAGCATATAGTCCATCATAAGTTTTTGATGTAGTGTTCAACAATTCATTAGTTGCATGTAACACCTACTGCTCATCATAACGCGTGTCCTCCTTAATACTCATCACCTGGTTACCCCATCCCCCCACCCCCCTCCCTTCTGTAACCCTCAGTTTGTTTCCCAGAGTCCAGTTTCTCTCACGGTTTGTCTCCCTCTGATTTCTTCCCATTGTTCATGACAGCAATGCCTACAATTAACTTCTTAAATAATCTTGAATACTAGACTATTAAGAAAGAAATTAAGAAAGAAAAAAAAAATAGGGGCATCTGGGTGGTTAAGGGTCTGCCTTCAGCTCAGTTCATGATCCCCAGACCTGGGATCAAGCCCCACATCGGGCTCCCTGCTAGGCAGGAAACGTGCTTCTCCCTCTCCCTCTGCCTGCCACTCCCCCTGCTTCTGCTGTCACTATCTCTCTCTGTCAAATAAATAGACCAAATCTTAAAAAAAAAAAAAAGAAAGAAAGAAAAAAATACATATGCAATTTACACAGTAGGTTTTTTTTTTTTTTCCATTGCTCTTTCATTATCAAAACTTCCTTACTCTGACTTCATCTATGTTAGGACCACCAAAAGTAATTCACTCTGAAAAGTCTTACCTGCATTCTTACTTTGCAAATAATTGTTAAGTTTTTCTTCTCTATGTTCGGCAATTAGTTGGCGACTGCTACATATAAAAAAGGGTGATAAACAATGTTACTATTTTAATACTGATATGAAAAACATTTACCAAATATCAAATTCTTAGGAGTATTTCAAATAATATTAGAACTAATATCAAAGCTTGAAGTACCCCATATACTTCACATTTGTAAGTTCTATACACTTTTTATTAAGTATGTAATTAAAGGAGAAAAAAAGTAAGGTGAACCAGTCATGAATTCGTAATTTAGTAATTAGTAAATTAGAGTTAGCTTGCCATAATGGAAAGTGTCTAGAACTCAGAAGTCCTAAGTCTCACAGCTATTTCCTCTTGGACAAGCCACTTCTCTTGGGCTCAGAGTCTTCCTCTATAAAACAGGCATCTTACTGCCTTATTTTACAAGGTTGTTAAGAGGATTTAATGAAATATTAAACCCAAGACATGGCCTTTCGGGAAAGGTGATGCCCACTACTCTGGGAAGGGCAATATGAGACCTTTCATCACCTAATAAGAAAAGGCGCTCCATAGGATTTAAAGCAGGCTTGGAATATAGGTCTAGTAACAAAGGAGAAAGAGAAGTCCAGTCTCTTCCTGCAGCATTATTTGAACCTCTTTAACAGCTTAGAATGGTCCCAACTACCATCTGCTGGAAGAAGAGACAAGGATAATTCATCCTGAAGGTCTGGGCTAACATATGGGCTTCACGTAAGGCTTTTGAGTGTGAAGGGAAGGGTGTGTGTGGCTAAAGCCAGGAGGCCCAGCTGACAGAACAGGGTGCTGGTGCTTTGGAATAGCTGAGCATAGAAGCTTATGTAGTAAACGAAAAAAAAGTTGTAACTTTGAAGTCTAACTGTGGATCACCACGAAGACTGAGGAATGTGGATCAGCAAGGGCATCCTAGGAGCAAAGGTCAATCATGACCAGACTGCAGAACCAGTTTCTTTCTTTTTTTTTTTGAAGATTTATTTATTTATTTATTTATTTATTTATTTATTTGAGAGAGAGAGCGTGAGAGGGGGGAGGGTCAGAGGGAGAAGCAGACTCCCCGCTGAGCAGGGAGCCTGATGTGGGACTCAATCCTGGGACTCCAGGATCATGACCTGATCCTAAGGCAGTTGCTTAACCAACTGAGCCACCCAGGCGCCCTGCAGAACCAGTTTCAATGGCAATGCTGTAGTAGTTGATGTCTTTTCCTTCCAAATGACTTGTGAAAAAAGATGGTCTCTTTGGTCTTAGGGAACTCCTCAGGTTCTTGGAAAATTCCAGGGGGAAAGTATAGGAGATAGCCCTCAAGGGAAAGTATAGGGTCTTCTACTAAACTGAACATCTCAAGACCCAAGTAACTAGTTAGAAAAAACAAGGATGTTGGGGCACCTGGGTGGCTCAGTCGGTTAAGCGTCTGCCTTCAGCTCAGGTCACGATCTTGGGGTCCTGAGATGGAGCCCCACGTCAGGCTCCCTGCTCAGCAGGGAATCTGCTTCTCCCTCTGTCCCTCCCCACCCGTGCTCTCTCTCTGTCTCTCTCTCAAATAAATAAAATCTACAAAAGAAAGAAAGAAAGAAAGAAGAAGAAAGAAAGAAAGAAAGAAAGAAAGAAAGAAAGAAAGAAAGAAAGAAAGAAAGAACGAACACAGATATAACATTATTTGTACCCCATGCATAACGGTTATACTTGGAATGAAACAGATACAGTTAGGATCCCTAAGGATAAAGGTCTCAATAGTCCTGAGATAAAGAATCCTGCACCCATTACTACTTCTTACTAGTCTAGCCTTTTTCTTGATTTCTGGCAAATGATGTGGGCGAACTCACTGCCATCCCAAAACTGCCTGAATCAAACAATGAACTCTCATCTGTTACATAAGAACTAACAGGGGTGCCTGGGTGGCTCAGTCGTTAAGCGTCTGCCTTCGGCTCAGGTCATGATCCCAGGGTCCTGGGATTGAGCCCCACATCAAGCTCTCTGCTCAGCCGGAAGCCTGCTTCTCCCTCTCCCGCTCCCCCTGCTTATGTTCCCTCTCTCGCTGTGTCTCTCTCTGTCAAATAAATAAATAAAATCTTAAAAAAAAAAAAACCTAACAGTTAAATTATTATATACCTCAGTTTAGTAATAACTAACATTTTAATGTAAACACTTACACTTTAAGATCATTAAAAATAGAATATTCTTCTGCAGTCCATCCACACGCATCTTCAGAAAAGATATTAATACCTTGCTGAAGAAGAACCCTGACTAGATCTGCAGAATCATAATGTACAGCAAGCATGAGGGCTGTTCTAAAATAACAGAGAGAGAACTTCACCCTTAGGAACTTAAGAGTTATTTAAACAGCTAATTTGATATACTTTATCAGGTTAATATCTTGCCTGTCAGTACAGAACTGCCCATTAACATGTTCAAGTGCTTATCTTTGTAAATACCTCCACGGCTAAAATGAAAGGACAAAAAAGAAGCCTCTTGTCCTACTTGGCTATGACAGTGAAGTTGCTAATTTAAAGTCCTTTGATAGGGGCGCCTGGGTGGCTCAGTCGTTCAGCGTCTGCCTTCGGCTCAGGTCATGATCCCAGGGTCCTGGGATGGAGCCCCGCATCAGGCTCCCTGCCCAGCGGGAAGCCTGCTTCTCCCTCTCCCACTCCCCCTGCTTGTGTTCCCTCTCTGGCTGTCTCTCTCTCTGTCAAATAAATAAATAAAATCTTTAAAAAAAAAAAAAGTCCTTTGATGAACAAGAAACTATGCTGAGGTCACTTATCTGATGGTAAAGATTTTAAAAAAGAATTCCCCATTTCTTCCTTAATCTGATACAGTGTACTTCCAAGCCATCTAGAGGACAGGTCCATATAAAAAGCTATTTGCAGGGGTGCCTGGGTGGCTCAGTCGGTTAAGCATCTGCCTTCAGCTCAGTCATGATCTCGGGGTCCTGGGATCGAGCTCCACGTCTGGCTCCCTGCTCTAGCCCCTCCCCCTGCTCATGCTCTCTCTCTCTCTCTCTCAAATAAATAAAATCTTTAAAAATAAAAAAAAAAAAGCTTATTTGCAGGCTGAAAATAACAGTATTCATACTAATGGTAATAAAACAGTCATAGTCACAGTTAATGATGCTAAGATAAGCACGTGGTAGACACTAAATTAAATGCTATATATATATAAAATAGTACACACAACCACCCTTGAAGGATATACTATTATCCTCCTTTTCATATCAGGAAATGTATCTGGTTATGATAAGTAATGTTTCCAAAGTCACACACCCAGCAAGTAGGAAAGCTAGGAATTAAACCTAGTCTTGTGTCAATCTAAAGCCCATCTCTTTTCTCTTTATCACCCACCTATGATTTGTCCTCATTAAAGGAAAAGTCTATTCAATTACAGTTATCTTTCATTCTTCTATCCTTACCAATGAAAACCAAAAAAAAAATATACTGAACATGAAAAAGGATGATGAGCCCATATTATCTGGTAACAGTAATTATTAATCACTTAGGGATCATCCAACGTCAGTATTCTTCAAAAACAAAAAGCAATTTAAAGAGTCATCCAAAAGACACAGCAACTCCTATTTATGTTTAATTTTCATCTTTTAAGGAAAATATATATGAAGTAGAAGTTTCAAAAATACTATAAAAGGGTTAAGAAGTCCAATATTGCGTCGTAAAGTAAAATAAAAGTTAGGAGTCCACACTTTATAAAACTAATAAAACTAATATGAAACCCCTTTAGCTAATATAAAATCATATGGCAAAAAAAAAAAAAAAAAGCCTCAAATGACATTAGTCAATAATATGAAGGAATATAAATTCTACCATATACTGTTCTTCACGTTGCCCCGTCAGAATAATTGCTTTCTGCCTAACTGATGACATGTTGACATTTTTCACTATATAAATTAATCCCCTTATTAAGTTAATCTTTCTGACTTGAGTGTGCCACTCTAGAACAATATAAGGTTTAAAAAAAAACCCAAAACTACTGTACCTTTGCAACTTATCAACTGCATGTACATTTGCTTCTTTTTCTATTAAAAATTCCACCATTTGCTGTTTGTTCTCACTTACAGCAAGTAAAAATGGTGTGAGTTCATCCTGTAAAAGTGCAAAAACAATTTATAATTTACAAAATTACATATTTCCATACTGAATTTTAAAACTTATAAAGGATCCTCTAAACTCAAATATATAATATAGAAAGTACTCTCACCCTTCTGTGCTTTCACCAGCTGCTCCTTCTCTTTCAAATAGCCCTCCTCAGGGGGCCTGGGTGGTTCAGTCGGTTAAGCATCTGCCCTGGACTCAGGTCAGCTCAGGTCGTGATCCCAAGGTCCTGGGATCCAGCCCCAAGTCAGGCTCCCTGCTCAGAGGGGAGTTGGCCTCTCCCTCTGCCCTGCCCCTATGCTCCTACTCTCTCACCCACTCTCTCTCTCTCAAATAAATAAATAAAATCTTTTTAAAAAAATAAATAAAACTAAATTAAATAGCCCTCTTCCACCTCTTCAACAGATTAACTGCAGTCATTCTCCAAAACTCACTTCATTGGCTGGTTCCAAGAATCTTGGCTTCTATCACAGTATTTATTATGGTATACTCTAGTTATTTTATTGCACCCCCTCTAAACCAAGAGCTTCTTGAGGGAAGGGATTATATTTTTTCTCTCTATCTCCAAAATCTAAAACATAGCAGTAAATGCTTTAAGTATTTTTATTGAGTTAGCAACCTAAATGATTATCTCTGGAGTAGTGTTTTTTAAATTACATTCCGAAGAACATATACTTTGCTGGAAGGTAAGTACTGTGCCCCAATAGAAAGATTCAATGATCATCTATGTCTGAGAAATATTACAAAATTGCACTATATATCTAGCACAAAAGAAATCCGTTTAAATTTGCTTATCCCCATTTGACAATAGTTTTTGTGGCAAACATTAACATTTGAGAAATTAGAGTTTTGGGGATATAGTTTTGAGAGCTTTCCAATAAAAATGAAGATTTTCGGGGTGCCTGGGTGGCTCAGTCGTTAAGCGTCTGCCTTCAGCTCAGGCCATGATCCCAGGGTCCTGGGATCGAGCCCCACATCCTGCTCGGCGGAAGCCTGCTTCTCCCTCTCCCGCTCCCCCTGCTTGTGTTCCCTCTCTCGCCGTCTCTCCATCAAATAAATAAATAAAATCATTAAAAAAAAAAAAAAATGAAGGTTTTCTCCAGGTTACACAAACATGCTTGATTCTCTTCTGTCAATGGTATCAGGATCCCAAATGGCAACATAAGGCACTCTTGATCCAAATGGGTCACTGAGGAGATGGACTCAGAATTAAAAGAGTGGCTTTGGGGCAACTGGGTGGCTCAGTCAGTTAAGCGTCTGTCTTTGGCTCAGGTCATGACCCCCGGGGTCCTGGGATCCACCCCTGCATCAGGCTCCCCTGTTTCTCCCTCTCCCTCTGCCCTTCCTCCATACTCATGTTTGTTCTCCGTCTCTCTCAAGTAAATAAAATCTTAAAAACAAAAAAAAGTATCATTAAAGTGAAATCTTAGACAATTAAGTTATTTCAAAATATTTTCATTCAGGGAATGCAGGAGCTTCCAAATATGAAAAACTGACCCTACCTATGTCAACCAACAGTGTTTCTGTAAGGGCAGTGGTAGAAATAATGCATGTCACAGAAACAGAAGGTGGACTGGTGTGCGTGGTCATCAACTACTCCCCATGTACAGCTACCACCCCACTGAGGAACTACACAAGGCTGAGCAGGAACTACTCTCTGAAATGGGAGACCCCAATGTGGTACGTGGCGGGAAGAGTGGCTACAAGCACAAGTAAATGCCCCTGTAGGATGTCATGACCTGATCCCTTTGCTCTCATTTTCAGAACCTTGGGGCCTCGAGTGCCCAGGGCCTGCAACCTGCTGCTTTCTCCTCCCACTTGCACTCACCCAAGTTACCCCACTGGGTCAGGGTCTCCCACCCATTCCCAGCAGCACCCATTTCCTAAGCCCCTGCACAGCACCCAGCCTCCACCACCTCCACTCCCCTCTAGGCCTTCAATCCTTTGTGGGCTCTGAGCCCACCATCCACTCCCAAGCACTAATGGGAAGATTTTCTTTCTGGGGTGGAAGCGGGGCTGGGAGACAGAACTTCGCCCTCTCCATGGGCATCACCTTTCTCTAGCCCTCCCTGCCCTGGCTTTGGAGTTGTTTCCAGGATGACAGGACCTGATGTATAGAATTCAGTATATGTATTTATTACACATATAAATAAATATGTAAATAAAATGATTTGTGGCTAAAAAAATTTATGTATACATATATATATTATTTCAAATACTCTATAAATACACTTGATCTGCACCTTGTTTCTCACTTCAATATTTGCATGGTGTAGAAGCAGCTTCTCTGCTATTGATGTATTCGAACCAAGGGCGGCATAGTGGAGAGCAGTATTGCCAGCAATGTCCGTAAGATTTGGATCAGCACCGTGTTCTAGAAGAATACTCACGCATCTCTCATCCTGACATTGTACAGCCTGTCAGTATTATACCAAGAAACAGTGTCAATTCTGGGAATTTAAAGTAAACATGCCACAGGTTTCACCAATTAGTTATGTTTAAATGCAATAAGTTTTCATTCTAAGTAATTAAATCAAATCCATCTCAGGCAGACACAGCTGCTTCCACATACCTTCATCAGAGCAGTCCTATAATCTTTATCAAATAGGTCAAGCTGGCATTTCCTCTCCACTAGGACAGTAACGACATCTGGATGGCCATTGGCACAGGCCAAATGAAGAGCAGTCCTATGAAAGTGAAAGAACTTTTTAGGAAATTATAGTGCACTATTTCAAAACATGCAATTAATTCATGTAATTGTAAACGTTAAATAGCATCTTATTCCTGTGACTCCAAAACCAGGATTTAGTTTTCTTTTGAAGAAAGTACAATATTTATTAGTGATTCTTCACCACACTAATAAAGAGCAGCCTATCTGAGTAGGTAGAGCATGACCTCAGGATTCAGCTTAACTTGGGTTTGACTCCTACTTTAACTCTGTCACTTAACAGTTATCACCTACTTAGCCTTATCCTCAATTTCCTCATCAACAAAATGGGGATAAAAATAGTTATCTCGGGTCCCCTGCCCAGCTCAGTTTGAAGATCATGTGACTCTTGATCTTGAGGGTTGTGAATTCGAGCCCCACGTTGGGTATAGAGATTACTAAAAAATAATAATAATAAATAAAGACTAGTTATCTCACAAGACCTCGGCGTGATGCTTAAATGAGGATCTATGCAAAGTTTGTTACATAATATTATTATAACTATTACTATTACTACTATTTTACAAAGACAACATCCAATTAGGTAAAGTGATACAATTATGCCTACTTTGTAGATATGTTTTAAGGATTCGCAAGAATACTACATTTCAGTGATTCTAAGATGCTCATTTTGTCACCTTTTAATATCTCTGACATTGGAATGCAATTTATAATTCAAAATGTCTTACAACTCTAATTGGCAGAATTGTTTTGCAATTTCTTATTGGTACAGAAAATACTGGGGCATCAGACAATCTATGGTGCCTTACATTACATGAAATAATGATATACACAACAGGTCTATTGCAGTTCTAGTCATATGCCTGGCATTTAAATAAATTTTAGTTCCTGAAAGCATTATGGGAAAAGAGGACTAAAATAACGGAGAATGTTTTTTAAGTAATTCTTACTCTAATTTTCAAGAAACTAAGCCAAAGGAAACTCAGGATTTAAATAAACAGGGACAGCTCATTTTATTAAATATTTCGATTTATAAATCACATGAAAATCAAGTACTACCAATTATCAATAGTAGTATTTAATACTATTATAAATTTCAAAAGGACAAGTAAAGGTTAACTTTTACAATTTCCTATCTTCAGAAATGTTTTCGTTTGAAAGGAAAGAGGAAAAGTTTTAACTGAGATTAAGTCCTAATACTTCAATTTAAAATTGCTCATCTTAGGGGCACTTCGGTGGCTAGTTGGTTGGGTGTCCGACTCTTGGTTTTGGCTCAGGTCATGATCTCCAGATCTTGAGATCGAGCCCCATGTCGGGCTCCGTGCTCAGCGTGGAGTCAGCTTGAGATCCTCTCTCTCCCTCTAACCCTCCCTTCTCCCTCCCCAGCCACTCCCATTCACTCTCTCTCTCTCAAATAAATCAATCTTTTCTTAAAATTAAAAAAATAAAATAAAATTTCTCATCTTAGTAGTACCTGGCCGGTTCAATGAGTAGAACATGCAACCTTAGTCTCAATGATATAAATTCAAGCCCCATGTTGGGTATAGAGATTACTTAAAAATAAAATCTTTAAAATAAATAAATAAATAGATAGATGATAGATAGATAGATAGATAGATAGATAGATAGATAGATAGATAGATAGATAGATAGATAGAATTTCTCATCTTACTAATACTGGGCAACATGAAGTCTTTAAGAATGAAAAGATTCTGGATAGAGTATGTCTCCTACATTACATGTGTTCAGATTCTATTTGATAAATAAATGGATTGAAAGAGTAGATAAATACAGTTGGAGAGCTCAATATTTTTTAAAGATTTATTTCTTTTAGAGAAAAAGAGAGAGTATGCACAAGCGGGGGGAAGGGCAGAGGGAGAGGGAGAGAATCTCAAGCAGTCTCCCCACCAAGCATGGAGCCCGACATGGGGCTCCACCCCCCAACCCCGAGATCACGACCCACGCCGAATTCAACACTCTGATGCTCAACCGATTATGCCACCCAGGCACCCCAGAGTTCAGTATCTTTAAAGAAAACTTTTATAAAGTAAAGCAATACATCTGAAATTGCAACAATCATTTATATTTCCTATTTTTGATTTTTTTCATAAGGACACAACTAAAATTTTATATACTTTTATAGTATTTATATTATTTATTTTCATAAGGATGTAACTAAAATAAAATGATTACTCTATAATCACTTATATGTAATAAAGCTACACACAACAAAAAACATGTATATATTTAATGTATGAATAAAATCTACAAGTACAGGTAAAAACATTCCCTTTACTTCTGAAGAGGTTAAACGTTGTCAGAAGATACCAATCCCCACCCGCAGTCCCCAATTTTTTTTAAATAGAAAGTAAGAGGGGCACCTGGGTGGCTCAGTCGTTAAACGTCTGCCTTCGCCTCAGGTCATGATCTCAGGGTCCTGGGATCGAGCCCCGCATCGGGCTCCCTGCTCGGCGGGAAGCCTGCTTCTCCCTCTCCCACTCCCCCTGTGTGTGTTCCCTCTCTCGCTGGGTCTCTCTCTGTCAAATAAGTAAATAAAATCTTAAAAAAAAAAAACAAAACACCTGTCTGTAAAGTGGTCTACCCGGGGAATTATGAGTGGGTCCAAAGGCAGCTGAAGCTTTCGTTTTCGTGCTCCGACAGCCGGCCTGGGCGCTAGACCCCTGCTGGGGGCCTCAGGAGGGAAGACCGCAAAGCGCCCTCGGTGACAGGGGGGCTCCGCTCCACAGGCGGAGCCCGGGAAGGTGCGCGCTTCTCCCGGTCCGCCCCACCTCCTCCCCGCCGTCTCCGGCAGCCGGCCTCCAAGTCCCTATTACCTGTTCATCCGGTCTCTTTCGTCCACGCCGTGTTTCCCGGAAAGTAGAATCTTCTGCAGTTTCCTTACGTTGCCCATGCTGGCAACTTTGTGGATCTTTCTGAGATCTTTGTCTCGGATGTTGTACCCCCACCCGAAGCTGTTGGTTCCAATTCTCCTCTCAGGCAGGATGCCCGGGCCGTCCCTCCGCGAGCTGGTAACGCGAAAGGACGACCCGCCCTTCTTACTCCCGAAGCTAAAAAACTTCTTCATCGCAAAGCCTGGAGGCTTTACAAACACTTCCCCTTCCCCTCGGCTTTTCACCGCCTCTAGAGCCCAACACTAGCGCTAGAGATAAGCCAAACCCGCCTCGCCACTACATCACAATAGCGAAATTGCCAGGTTTACAATCTTTGAGCGCAGCGTAATGTAACCAAGCAACGATGCCAAACACAGATGCGCTTGCGCGCCTCACAAACCGGCGTCGCTGGGCCTGCGCGCAAAGGGCGGGCGGCCAAGGATGCCCAAAGCGCATGTGCGAGGTCCAAGTCTCTCAAATCTCAGCGATCGCTTGTGAGCTGGGCTGGGTTCCCCTTCAAACATTGGCGAGAGTTGGCTGAGCGTTTCTGAACCTTTGCAGGAGTTAGACTCGCCCGTGAGGAAAGGCACTCTTCCTATACTACTGGGGCTAGAGAGCATGAAACTTCAGGATGCTGAATGCCTCATCCCCCAGAAAACTTGCCTAAAAAAAGCTCTCCCTCAGTTTATTCCTCTTCCATATCCCTCTGGGCCCCAGCCGGTCTCCATGCAATTGAGCAGATGCAGCAATAGAAAGTCGTTTTCAGGGGCTCCGGGGTGGCTCAGGTGGTTGGGCTTCTGCCTTCCCCAGGGCATGATCCCGGGGTCCTGGAATCGAGCCCCAGGTTGGGCTCCCGGCTCAGCAGGAAGCCTGCTTCTCCCTCTGCCTCTGCCTGATGCTCCTCCTGCTTGTTCTCTCTCTCTCTCTAATAATTAAAATCGTAAAAAAGAGAATATACTATAGAAGATGTAGAGAATGATGCAGTTCATCAGGTTCTTTAACAGGTAAACAGAAAATTACTACATGACCTAGCAATTTCAATCATAGAAGTCTATCCAAGAAAAATAAAAACATACATCTGCACAAAGACATGTATACATCCAGGGAGAAGTAAGGAAGGAGAGAGGGAGAGGGAAGGAGAAGAGAAAAGAGAAAGGGAGGTGGGCAATTAAAAAATGGGATGATGAATGTGGACCAAGGGCATATGGGAGTTCCTTGTATTATTCCAGTAACATTTCTGTAAGTTTGAAATTAGATCAAAATTTAGGGCGCCTGGGTGGCTCAGATGGTTAAGCGTCTGCCTTCGGCTCAGGTCATGATCCCAGGGTCCTGGGATCGAGTCCCGCATCGGGCTCCCGGCTCCGCGGGAAGCCTGCTTCTACCTCTGCCTCTCTCTCTCTGTCTCTCATGAATAAATAAATAAAATCTTTAAAAAAAAAAAAAAAAGAAATTAGATCAAAATTTAAAATTATAAAAAAAAAGAGGCGAGGATATTGTATAGCAAACTCCCTCTATTAACTTCTTCAATGAAGACCATATACAGCTTAAAAGTTATTAGAAAACTGTAGGTAATTTTAATAAAATCACTTCAAGAATATAATTTGGTTGTAAAACCAATACAATGAGCTCTAAAATAATTTTTCTATTGAGTTAAGTAAAGTCATCTGTAAATCCTGTAACAACATGTTCATATTCACAAAATCCAAATGAAAAGCAAACACAACTTTCCATTTCTAACATAGGGTAATTCAAAGTTCACTTTGAAGGGACTGAGATTTTGGGTTAATTTTTCTTTTAATACCAAGCATAATTATAGTTATTTAGATTTTGAAGTGACTCACTTTTTATTTAACAAAACACGTGCAGCTCTGAAATAAATTTCATTAGTAAGAATGATAATGATGTTTAAAAGAAAAAAGACCATGAAAATGCAAGCTGCATTTCCAAAAGGTTATAATCATTTAAATTCTGATTATATCTGTACATTTACAATTCTCTACTCTTAGGCAAAAACAAAAAGAACTATTTTATATATGGACACTCTGGAGCATAATTAAGTGCATCTTAATGAAGTTTCCACTGACCTATATAGAAATATGGTTCACCGATAGCCAAACGGCAGCATATCTTTAACAAAGATAAAAGGTACTATCTAAAAACAAAGACAATCCTTCAACAATTTTACTTTGCCAAGTAAAACTACTTCCAAAGAGCTAAAGGCACAATTTTTATTCACGTCTAGTAGAGGAACCAACCATAAAATCACTACTTATTTTCAAATGAATAACTTATTGACATTTCTCAAACAAGCTGTTTCCAATCCTAATAGTTCTTTATTTTCTTTAACATATTTATTATGGGTTGATAATTTGCAATAGGTGTCATTATGAGAATAACCAAAATTAGATTAAACATGACAAAAGAGAGACAAAGTGTTTCACACCCTTGAGTGACACCAAGGCAAGAATGGGAGAAAAGCATTGCAAAAGACTACTGAAATGCTACTTATATATTCTTGCAGTAAAACCAGCAATGCATCCATTTTAAGAGTTATCATCTCACTTCCAATTTCTTTCCCTCAAGAACAATTTGAATCTCTTTGGCATCCAAAGTCTCATAGGTTAGTAAAGCTTCTGCTAGATTCTTATGCTCTTTTGCATGAGTCTTCAAGATATGTTTCGCTCGTTCGTATGAGTCCTGAAATGAAAAAAGCAGGTATCTAAGAGGCAGAAAAAAAAAATGTATATGCCTTAAAAAATATGAAATATATTCATTTCTACTTATAAAAGATAAAAGCATTGGGCTCCATGCTGGGCGTGGAGGCTACTTGATAGATAGAGAGAGAGAGAGAGAGAGAGAGAGAGAGAGAGAGATAGGGCAAGCTTGGTTCTCAAAGAGAAGTTTCGTATTTGCAAATGTTCTATTTTTAACCTCAAAATCTATCACATTGATAAATGAGGATTACTTAGGGAGCTACTTAAAGATATAAAAGTATGTATTATACTTATCTGCATTTTAAATAAGGTCTGTGAACAAAGAAATCTATTTCTCTATTCAATATACATGTTAAAAAGGAAAGGGAGGTTTGCTCCTTTTGCCTTGTGAGATTTCAGCAGAAAAGATCTTCTTTTCTATTGTGTTATTTGATAACAACTCTGTCAGCCTGTGACAACCATACCACTGTAAAATGAGTTTACCAACATCAAGAAGCATAAGTCATATAAACATAACACAATTATTAAAAATAAACATCATTAGACATTCTGAACAAAACCGTTACGGTCAAGTGAAATCATCAAATTAAAGAAAACATATAAAGTATTATAAATATGTCATGGAATATTGAAACTAATATCCAAGGATGAATTAGTATTAACGTTAAAAACTTCATTGGAATGAAATCCTTACATTGTAACATGAAAGACTACGATAAGGTTTTCATATTTTTAAGTTTCATAAACATTTGAACCTAAAATGTATACTAGCTAGTCATCATTTCCCTTAATAACAATGTAACCGTGCCATCTAGTGGAAAGAGTACCTACAGCCTTCCCAATCTTAACATTTCAGAAAAGTACTAGAGCAAAGAAAGAGTATTTCCAATGCCCTAAGAGTACTAGAGTATAGATTTACTCAACATAAATAGTAAAGGAAAGAGAATGAAGATTCAGGGAAGGAAGGCAGAGAGAATTCCTCTTCTGAAACACCTTCTAAACCTTTCCATTATATAAACTTTTCATATACTTAATGACTTTAAACCATTTTCTACCTCCTTAAGTTAATCAAAACCTCGCCCTCCTGTGGGAGACTCCTGAGCCCTCAAGTGGCAGCTATTGATTCTTATCCCAGACATTTCAGGGTAAAGAGGTGAACTCTTTGTTCCCCTCACCGCTGACAGACCATTACTATGCTACCCTCTTCCATAAAGCACGATTCCTTTGAAGTTTACACCATCTGACTGTAGCCCTATTCAACAGCCTTGATTTTGCAATCTACTACCCTAATTACAGTTCTCATTCACTAGACTTTCTGGAATTTAGCTCTGTCTTTTCCATTCCAAGACCTGCCTTCATGCACATCCAAATGGAATGCACATATCGAACCTCTGCACTAAGCACCAGGTCCACGTAGCTCCCTCAACTTGAAATCTTCACTAAGACACCTCAAATTCAGGAGCACCTGGGTGGCTCAGTTGGTTAAGCGTCTGCCTTCAGCTCAGGTCATGATCCCAGAGTCCAGAGATCAAAACCCACGTCAGAATCCCTGCTCAGCAGGCAGTCTGCTTCTCCCTCTGCCCCTCACCCACCCCACTCATGCTCGCTCTCTCGTTCTCTCTCTCAAATAAACAAATAAAATTTAAAAAAAAAGACACCTCAAATTCAATATGTATAAAATTCAGCTCATAATCTACATACTTCCCCACCTTAGGCCATCATCAGTGTTTTCTCAGTAAATGGCACACACAACTATACAGCTGCATGAGGCAGAAACAGCTTTGTATTTAATTTAGCTGCTCTCTCACCCAAACATCAAAAAGGCATTTTGATTCCACTAGATCAGTATCTCTTGAACGCATTTTCTCAATTTCTACACTCACTGCCCTAATCCAAGCATCTGCTGTACCATGAGGAGACTCCACAGTAACTACCAACTGATCTCACTGAGTCTATGCTCACATATTCTGTACTGCACACTGCAATCAAAAAGACTTTTGTTTTCAAAGAACTTTGTGCTTCATTCTCAGCACATGCAGGCAGCTAGGCACAAAGCAAATAATATTTGTTGAATAAAATCTATGTCAGAGTGAAAAACCAATAAAGACTCAAATAATCAATACCCCTTATTCTAACAACTCTATGGTTTTACAGCTTAAGTAGAATACTTATAATTACTGATATTAACTGTTCCTAGCCTATAGCCAGAATAAAATATTCAGTCCATGACCAGAGGCTCCCAAACAACATATTGAAATCATGGTTTCAATGGTGCACTTACTCTCTTTATTATACATACTGACATTTCTAAACAGGGGATAACCATTATCTTCTGGTAGTACCTAACTATTGAGGCACATTATGACCAGACAAATAAATAAGCATATAAAAATATGATCATTACCCTTAGAAGGATTCTAATTTCTTGTTCAATAGCAGATTGAGTTTCTGGACTCAGTTTCCCAGTATCACTGTAGGTCATAACTCCAAGCTAAAACAAACGAAAAGAAATTGAACAGAAAAACCCTAAACCACTAATAAATGTAACAGAGGAAGTACTATCCTATACTTAAGGAAACATCATGGGGACAAGGAAGAAATTCAATATAAAAACACCCTTGAGGGCAAAGAAATTTCATCATTCTTCTGAAAGTATAAGACTAAAATTAAAAATATAAGAGAAAAAATTTAAAATAATAAGTATGGCTCTGAGTACCTTCTTCGAAAACCTTTGCAGCTATTCCAAATCCAGAAATCCACAATGTAATGTATTAGAAATGATTCATGAAGCCACAGTGATAATGTAGGAGAGTGAAATATGTGGAAAGGGTAAAGTAAGCAAGCTCAGCAAATAGGTGTTTTATGTCATAAGAACAGAAAATAGAGTATCTTATCATTTGCTTAACTCATGAGATACTGTTATTGTCCAAGCAGCCAGAATGGAAAGTGAATACTATATGTTATTACTCAAAAAACAAAAACAGTTTAGTTTAGAATAAGCTGTGACAAATCTACTTGAAATGAGACGGGCGGGGGGGAAGTAAGTGTTACCAATTTATAATGAGAACCCTCTCTCATAGGGCGCCTGGGTAGCTCAGTTATTTTAAGCGACTGCCTTCCGCTCAGGTCATGGTCCCAGAGTCCCGGGACTGAAGTCCTGCATCGGGTTCCCTGCTCCCTCTGACCCTCCCCCGTCTCGTGCTTTCTCTCTCTCTCGCTCGCTCTCTCTCAAATAAAATCTTAAAAAAAAAAAAAAAAGAACCCTCTCTCATAAACAGACACTTGGCAAATCATCATTTGATACATGAGGAAGGGTTAAAATTAGCTATTACCTTTTCACTCATTCCAAATTTGGTAACCATCCGCTTTGCTATTTTAGTTGCATTATCAAAATCACTGGAAGCACCTAAAATTTTAAAATATACATAGAACTCAATTTTTTAAAGTATTTTTAAATCAGCAAGCACAATTTGAACTAAAGCCATTCTTTACAGCCAACCTGTTGTGATATGGTCAGTTCCAAATATAAGCTCCTCAGCTACTCTTCCTCCCATACTAACGTCCATCTGTGCAAGCAACTGAGCTCTAGTTTCATTCCATCTGTCATTCTCAGGCAAAAGGGACACCTAGACAATTGAAAACAAAGAAAAACTTCAGACACAGTTTGAAATACCTATATTAATAATCAGAATTATCATTTGGCTCTTGCTATAGTACTTAATATCATGATGCTGACAGCTCAAAAAAATTGAGTAGAGATGGTCTCAGGCGACTAATGACAAAACTGGCAATATACAAAATAAGAAAAATTCTTTATAAGGCAAAAGTTCATTTTATATGTAATGCGTATATGATGCTGCAAGAGGATGGACTTATACCCAGGTGCACAAAAATGCTTAAAATGTCTATCATTAGAAAGGTATGAAAATGAAACTTGTACTCGATAAGAAAAATCTTAGAAAAACTATGGAACCACTGACATAGTTTCTTTGTGGAGGGAAAAGAGCAATTACCTATTTAAGAATGATACTTTGTTGTCATTCCAGATTTAAATTTCATAATGTAAATATATAATATTTGAAATATTAGTATTCTTTATTAGCAGATGTTTCACCAGTATCTCTGATTTCACAATGGTTCAGAAGGTTAAAGAAGAAAGTTCTCAGCAAACTTAGGAATTAGTTGAATTTTCTTTTTAATTATTTTCATCAATAATTTCCTACGTAAGTTTTTGGAGAGTGTTACTTGAAAGAAAAGAAAAAAAAACTACAAGATACTTACATGTCCAAGTGTTGGCCCTCGTGGCATGATTGTAGCTTTGTTGATAGGCATTGCATCTTTAGTATAATATGCAATAATAGCATGACCAGATTCATGATATGCTGTGATGGTTTTGTTTTTGTTATCAATTTCCACACTTCTACGTTCAGGCCCTAAGGATAAAAATTTAACTGAATAAAATTATTCTGTTAGGAAAGTATATTTAGATGAATGAAACCCACTTGCCTTTAAGTAATTCTTAGGGTGACATGACTTAATATCATTAACAAATATTTTAAACCACAATAACTTGACAAATGACAACCAAAATTGTAAGAGCTGTCATCTTACTCCTTACTATCAACAAGGAAAAAGTTTAATTCTATTTCCAGAAAATAAATTTAAAGAAGAAATGTCATAACTAACCTGTTCTGAAGCCAATTCAAGATTTAAAATCAAATACTGAAAATTAGTAAAATTATTCTTTTATCAGCAATATCAGACAAGAGGAAACACATGGGCACCCCTGCCCCCAAAGAGTATAATCATACAAACTATATTTGTTCTGTAAGAGGCCCAATTGTGTGGCTATTTTTGAGTATGTGTTTTCTTACTCCTGTACCTTTCTTTTTTATAACCTTTTTCTCAAAAAGAATTTATTCTTTAACATAATGAACAGTGTTAAGACAGGGAAAAAGAAAAAAGGGGAGAGAAAACCTACCCATTAGAATTTTATCTTTGGAAAACTCTAGTTCCTTCATGGTAACCGTTTCTTTTCCATCCACAGCTGCCTTTAATGCAGCCTGGTTCACAAGATTCTCCAACTCTGCTCCAGAAAAGCCAACAGTACCTCGAGCTATAATTTCTGGATCAACAGCTACACAGACAAACACAATATTAAAATTCCAGAACAACTCTTCAGAAACAACTCGCATTCCAAAAGAAAAAAGAAAACAGCTATCCTGAACTAGAACTTAAAATATTTGTTTCACTGTAACTATAAAATAAACTTATTTTTCTAGAGGAAAAAGCCAAAATTGCCATTAAATATATCATTAAAACTACCAGTGGGACAAATCACAGAAGTTCTTAAAGAACTTTGTGGAAAAAAAAAAACAAAGAAATTCAGAGTTGCCAGACTTGATTTATAAACCTTCAAATTATAACCTAAATTGTTACTAGCCTAAGCACAAACTGAAAATGTATACTCAGACAACAGTTTATTGGGGCACCTGGGTGGCTCAGTCGTTAAGCGTCTGCCTTTGGCTCAGGTCATGATCCCAGGGTCATGGGATCGAGCCCCACATCGGACTCCCTGCTCAGCGGGAGGCCTGCTTCTCCCTCTCCCACTCCCCCTGCTTGTGTTCCTGCTCTTGCTGTCTCTCTCTGTCAAATAAATAAATAAAATCTTTAAAAAAAAAAAGACATTTTGTTTTCTGAATTTCATCTTGAAATACTTTATACATAAGTATTCAGTATTTTATGTACATTTATAAAAGCTCCCATTATAAGAAACATATCTGGTTTTACAAATTGATTCACCTATCTTTGAAAATACTGCAGCTTAATAGCTGCATTGATTACTTACGTGGGTCCATAATATTTTCATGTGTTTTGTTTTACAGTTTGCTTCTTTTGGGCCCAAAGTGATTCTATGTGTTTTTTCTACTATTACATTCATCTTAAAAACAGTTATATATATATTTATCTTCAAGTATTATTTATCTAAATAATCTAAAGAAAATAGTCTTTTTTCTTTTAAGATTTTATTTATTTATTTGAGAGAGTGAGTGAGAAAGAGAACATGAACAGGGGCAGCGGGAAATGGAGAATCAGACTCCCCTGCTGAGCAGAAAATCCTATTCAGGGCTCAATCCCAGGACCCTGGGATTACGACCTGAGCCAAAGGCAGCTGCTTAACAGACTGAGCCACCCAGGTGCCCCAAGAAATAAACTTTTTAAAAAGGACATATAAGGGGCCCCTGGGTGGCTCAGTTGTTAAGCGTCTGCCTTTGGCTCAGGTCATGATCCCAAGGTCCTGGGATCGAGCCCCGCATCGGGCTCCCTGCTCTGTGGGAAGCCTGCTTCTCCTTCTCCCACTCCCCCTGCTTGTGTTCCCTCTCTCGCTGTGTCTCTCTCTGTCAAATAAATAAATAAAATCTTTAAAAAAAGGACATATAAACGGAGAGAAAAAAAGGACATATAAAAAACTGGTCTTTTGAGACATTTGTCAAGTAACCACAAACAGGGCAGAATGAAATATTACCATTTTATAGAGATAATAATAAAGTTTATTACTGGAATCAGACTTACACTGATCAAACTTTATTTTATTGAGATACCATTTCAAAATTTCTGTTCGACCTTTTACATCTGGTCTTGGAACTGTAACCTGCATGTCAAAACGACCAGGACGTATTAAGGCACTAAAGGGAGAAGAAGAAAATATAAATTAATAATCTGAGTACACTGAAGGTCAAATTAAATAGGACTGACACTCTAAAGTCAAGATGGAAGGATAATGGCAACCAGAGGTGAGACTGGAGTTTTGGTTTTTATTTTAATTCCAGGACAGTTAATATATAGTGCTGTATTAGTTTCAGGTATACAATATAGTGATTCAACAATTCCACACATCACCCAGTGCTCATCACAACAGGTGCACTCCCTAATCCCCATCACCTATTTCACCCTAGATTGGAGTTTTGAACATAAATATTCAGATAACTCCTTGTAAAACAGGACTCAAGTAACAGTTTCAATAACCAGAAGGCAGAACAAAGGTTGACAGAGAGAGGTAATACACAACCCTCAAAAACAAAAACACGCAAGCCAGTCACTCAAAGAAAAATAATTCTAGAGCAGTCTATTATGAGAGCTACACTGTGATAGCTTCCTATCACAACTGCTGTAAGTACAGAATGTTAAACTACAGACTTAGGCAAAGATAAAACTATTAGATCAAATTAAAATATGAGTAACTTCTATGATAAAATCAAAAATTTAAAACTATAATAAATTTTATTTTAAAAATGCTCTCCACCACCCCCAAATTCTGTGATATAAAGTTGTCAGAAGATTAATGACTTTACTGAAATTTAAATCACGTATCACAGAATCTCAAGTAGATAATCGAGTGGTTTTTAATATATTCAAAGTTGTGCAATTATCAACAATCTAACTCAAGAATATTTTTATTCCCCCACCCCAAAAGAAACCCCACAGCCACCAACAGTCACCAGTCTCCATTCTTCCCACCCTCTGGCAACCACTAATCTACTTTCTGTTGCCACCGATTTGCTTATTCTGGACATTTCATATAAAAAGAATCATATGTGATGTTTTGTGATGAGCTTCTTTCTCTTTTAAAGTTCAACCATGGTTCAGTATGCATCAGTACTTGTCAAAAAAGTCTTTTAATACGTACTTATCTAATGCCTCTGGGAAGTTTGTGGCTCCTATTATGATAACTCCTTCATTGGGTTTAAAACGATTAAAAAAGAAAAAAAGTAGCACAATAGCACATTAAAAGAATTATACACTGTGACCAAGGGGGATTTATTCATAGGATGCAAGGATGGGTCAACTCCACAAATCAATCAGTGTGATACACACCACAGTAACAAAAGAAGGGACAAAAGCACATGCTAATCTCAATTAATGCAGAAAAAGCATTTGATAAGACTCAATATCTTTTTGTGATAAAAATATTCAACAAACTAGGAATAGAAGAAATATACCTCAACATAATGAAGTCCTTATATGAAAAACCCAAAGCTAACATCATACTCAATGGTGAAAGACTGAAAGCTTTTCCTATAATATCAGGAACAAGGCAAGGATGCCACTCTTACTACTCATACTCAGTATATCAGAAATCCTAGCCAGAGCAATTAGGCAAGAAAAAGAAATAAAAGGAATCCAAAGTGGAAAAGAAGTAAAATTATCTCTAGATGCAGATGACATGATCTCATGTGCAGAAAACCCTACAGACTACCAAAAAAAAAAATTATTAGAACTAATAAACAAATGCAACAAAGTTGCAGGATACAAAATCAACACACAAAAATCAGTTGTGTCTATACACTAGTAATGAACAATCCAAAAAGAAAATGAAGAAAACAATCCATCTACAATAGCATCAAAAGAATAAAATACTTAGTAATAAACCTAACCAAGAATGTGAAAGACTTATACACTGAAAACTGCAAAACATTGCTAAAAGTAATTAAAGAAGCCACAAAAAAATGGAAAGACATCCCATGTTCATAAATTGGAAGACTTAATATGGTTAAGATGCCCATATTACCAAAGTGATCTACTGCTTCGACACAAACCCTATCCAAATTCCCATAGCATTATTTGCATTAAAAAAAAATCATCCTAAAATTCATATAGAATCTCAAAGGACTTCAAATAGTGAAAACAATATTGAAAAAGAAGAACAAAGTTGAAGGGCTCATACCTTCTGATTTCAAAACACACTGCAAAGCTACAGTGATCAAAATGGTATGATACTGCCGTAAATACAGACACACAGTCCAATGGAATAGAGAGCCCATAAATAAACCCTTGCATAAATGATCAAATGAATATCAGCAAGCATGCCAAGACCACTCAATGGGGAAAGGAGAGTCTCTTCAACAAATGATGCTGGGAAAACTGGATATCCACATGCAGAAGAATGAAGTTAGACCTGTATCTTACATCATAAACAAAAATAAATTCAAGATAGATTAAAGACTTAAACATAAGACCAAACCCATAAAACTCATAGAAGAAAATATAGGGGAAAAGCTTGATGACATTGGATTTGACAAGGATTTCTTGCATATGACACTAAAAGCACAAAGCAAAAATACACAAATGGGACAATGTCAAACTTAAACATTTTAAAGGCAACCTATGAAATAGGAAAAAAAAAATTGCAATCCTGTCTCTGATAAGGGGTTAATATTCAGAATAGATACAGAATTCCTATAACCCAACAACAAAAAATTAAAATCCCCAATTGAAAAATGGGCAAGGAACTTGAATAGACATTTCTCCAAAGATGATATACAAATGGTCAAAAAGCATATGAAAAGATGTTCAACATCGAAACTTATCATCAGAGAAATGCAAATCAAACCCACAATAAGAGAGCACCTCACACCCACTAGGATGGCTGCTATCAAAAAAGCAGAAAATAACAAGTGTTGGTAAGGATGTAGAGAAATTGGAGCACTTGTGCACTGTTGGTTGAACTATAAAATGTTGTGGCCACTACAGAAAACAGTGTGGACGTTCCTCAAAAAACTACCACATGGGAGAGCCAAGATGTCCATCGACAGATGAATGGATAAAGAAGATGTGGTATATATATACAATGGAATATTATGCAGCCATCAAAAGGGATGAGGTCTTGCCATTTGCAACGACGTGGATGGAACCGGAGGGTATTATGTTGAGTGAAATAAGTCAAACAGAGAAAGACATGTATCATATGATCTCACTGATATGAGGAATTCTTAATTGCAGGAAACCAACTGAGTGTTGTTGGAGTGGAGGGTGGGGTGGGAGGGATGGGGTGACTGGGTGATAGACACTGGGGAGGGTATGTGCTCTGGTAAGCGCTGTGAATTGTGCAAGACTGTTGAATCTCAGATCTGTACCTCTGAAACAAATAATGCAATATATGTTCAGAAAAAAAAAAAAAAAAGAAGGAGGAGGTAGCAGGAGAGGAAGAATGAAGCGGGGGAAATCGGAGGGGTAGACGAACCATGAGAGACGATGGACTCTGAAAAACAAACTGAGGGTTCTAGAGGGGAGGGGTGGGAGGATGGGTTAGCCTGGTGGTGGGTATTGAGGAGGGCACATTCTGCATGGAGCACTGGGTGTTATGCACAAACAATGAATCATGGAACACTTCATCTAAAACTAATGATGTAATGTATGGGGATTAACATAAGAATAAAAAAAAAAAAACTACCATATGGGGACGCGGGGGTGGCTCAGTCAGTTAAGTGTCCAACTCTTGATCTGAGTTCAGGTCTTGACCTCAGGGTGGTGAGCTCAAGCTCTGTGTAAAAAAAAGAACAAAAACACTACCATATGATCCAGCAAACCCACCTCTGGATATATCCAAAATAACTGAAAGCAGGGTCTTAAAGAGGTATTTGCAAAACCATGTTCATAACAGCACTATTCTCAAGTCAAGAGATGAAAGCCACCAGATGTCCATTGATGGAAAAATTAAAGAAAATGTGGTGTATGCATACAGTGGATTATTCAGCCTTAAAAAGGAACATAATTCTTTTTTTTTTTTTTTAAGGACTTTATGTTTAAGTGATCTCTACACCCAACATGGGGCTTGAACTTAAACCCTGAGATCAAGGGTCCCACACTCTACCGACTGAGCCAGCCAGGCATGCCGAAAAAAGAGGGTACTTCTGACACAAGCTACAACATAGATGCAACTTGAGGCCATTATGCCAAGTGAAATAAGTCACAGAAAAACAAACAGTATGATTCCACTTGCATGTGGTGTCTAAAGTGGTCAAATTCACAGGAACTGGAAGTAGAATGCTGGTAACCAGGGGCTGTGAGAAGGGGAAATGGGGGGTTGTCCTATGGGTGTGAAGTTGCAGTATCCCAAGATTAAAAGTTCTGGAGATCTGTTTCATCAGTGAACTATACACTTAAAAATGGCTAAAATGGTCAATTTTGTTATTTTTTTACCACAATAATAAAAAAAACCCCTAATATCGCTCATAAACACAGATGCAAAAATTCTTAAAATATAAGCAAGCGGAGGCCAATAGTGTATAAAAGGATTTTAACAAGGGAAAGTGGCGTTTTGACGGCTGCCAAGTGCCACTCCCGGCTGTCAGGTGTCCCCAGGCGGCAGCCGTGGGCGGCGGCACCGCGGGGCTCTTCGAGAACGCCCCGGCCCGGCCCCGGCCCCGGAGCCGGCAGCCACTCCGCCGGCCACAGGCACGCTCCGCCCCCCCCTCAGCCCCGCCAAGAGCGAGGCCAGGGCCGCGCCATTCCGGACCCCTGTCTCCAAAGGCCAAGGCGCGGCTCGCGTGATAGGCTCGGGCAGAGCCAAGGGCATCTACGCCGCGGCCCCTCGAGCGCAGGAGCAGCAAGAAGGCTGAAGAGGTGGGTTCTTGCTGAGTGTTGCTAAGGAACCACCGGGCGCTGCCGGGGCTCTGTGCTCCTTTTGAGGTTTCACAGACCGTTCCGAACACAGCTCTCGGGCGGAAGAAAGCAAGTGGCACCGATTCTCGAGGCTTCAATTCCTCCAGCAGGAAAATAAGGTGACTGGTTCCTGCTGGCTCTGGTGGTCAAACAAGTCTGAAATGCACATTCCAGACCCTCGAAAGAGCTGAGTCTCCCCTTCTCTCTCCCTCCCGGAATACTCAACCCATGCCAGTCGGAAAATAGTCCTATCTTTACTGTGCTGCATTCCATCCATCCATTTCTAACATACCTGGCGGGGAAGCTTATTTAGTGACCTCAGACAGTCTTTGTCCAGAATACAATTTCCAAGTGCATTCCCGAAACTTCTAAGGGTAAGGAAAGAAAAAAAAAAGAGCGAGAAACAGGTTGAGAATGATTAGGTGTAAATATCAGAGACCAGATACCTTTGTGGCAAGGTGCTTCTCAACTGCAGCAGAGGAGATGGTACCTAATATACATGCAGTAACGTTTCCTGGGCACGTGCCATGTTCACGCCCTCTGTATGAGGCTCTCAGAATACAGCACAGGGCCTAACAGTCACCAGTCTCTGCCCTCAACAAGAGGTAAGGAGGGGTGCCTGGGTGGCTCAGTTGGTTAAGCGACTGCCTTCGGCTCAGGTCACGATCCTGGAGTCCCGGGATCGAGTCCCGCATCGGGCTCCCTGCTCGGCAGGGAGTCTGCTTCTCCCTCTGACCTTCCCCCCTCTCATGTGCTCTCTCACTCTCTCAAATAAATGAATAAATAAAATCTTTAAAAAAAAAAAAAACAAGAGGTAAGGAGGACGAAAAGACTAAGAAACCACAAAACCCCATTAGCACCAACTCCAGAGCAGAGAATTCTTTTTCCAAGGACGGTTCCAATTCCCCAATAATAGTGGGCAACACACACTTAGGGCACATCCTCCTCCATGACTGAAGTTCTTTACTTGGGACATCTGGCCTCCTGTATGGGTTATGGTACAGCAAGTTTTTAGTGTAGGTTCATACATGTGTGATCCAATTCACTTCAATTCTCAAAGGCCATGTAAGACCCCAAAAAAGGTTAAAAAAACCCTTGTTCTATGCACCTAAGTTGTACATACCCAAGGAAACACTGTTTAGGTGTTTTAAAGAGAATGGGGAAGCTATCTCTGTCCTTGTGTGGAAAGGTCTCCAAGACACACGACTGAGATGGGGGTAAGCAAAGTGAAGTACAGAGTAGAGAATATAGTATTCTACCACTTGATCCCAAAGAAGGCAGACCTAAGCATAAAGAAGCATGGGGAAAATACGAAGTGTAGGAAACAGGGCCGAGGGGGACAAGGGGGAGTGAGACGTGGGTTATTTTATTATTTTATAAAAATATATATATAAATTATAATTTATAAAGTTATTTTAACTTTCGTACCACGTGAACGAATTATGTTTTAAACAAACGAACAGGAAATAAAACTGACGCAGGTTAAACCCCAGCCCTTGTGCTCACCTCAGCGCTCGCTTCAGCCCGTCGGTCACGGCCTCCTTCCTGGCCTTCTCCAAAGACAAGGCTTTTGACTTGAGGCCCTCACTGACACCATAGCCCACATCTTCATGATATGAGCCATCCTGCGGGTAGAAAAGGAGTTCAGACTCCAACATGAAAAGCTGCAGCCGTGTCCCTGGTTCCACAGCTTTTCTCGCCCTCAAGGGCGTTCGCACCAGGCGCACAGAACCCAGGCGCCTTGCTAAAGGGCACACGGGCACAGAGTTGGAAGAGAATTAATTTCCAGCACTACCTTCTAGACCTGATCTCCGCGTAAATGTGCAAGACAATTCTCCCTTCCCACTTCCTCTTTCACATAAAAAAGGCACATATCTGGGGCGCCTGGGTGGTTCAGTCTGTTAAGCATCTGCCTTCGGCTCAGGTCATGATCTCAGGGTCCTGGGATCGAGCCCTACATTGGGCTCCCTGCTCAGCAGGGAGTCTGCTTCTCCCTCTCCCTCTGCCTGCCGCTCCCCCTGCTTGTACTCTCTCTCTGACAAATAAATCAATAAAATCTTTAAAAAATAAAAAATATAAATAAAATAAAATGAAATAAAAAAGACACATAGCTAACCCACCCTAAGTCTTACTAAGGTGCATTACCCCAAGGTATAAAAACCTCTGGGACACTAAACAAAAGGAAAATGTGAAATACTGTATTTAACAGACTCTTAACGACTGGATAGCAAATCTTTTTATGGGTTAGGCAGGTATCCATTTCTTGGCTTTCACCAAAAATGAAGGTACACCTGATCAAGTTATTAGCTGATAGAGAACCAAATATAATTTTGGATGACAGGACTCTGATTTTTGAGGTATAACTCAGAAAGCTTATTCAAAGAAATGAGTGACACTGTAACAACACTCTCTCCATTCCCAGTTTATTTATGTAAGGTTTTTCAGTACTAATTATAAAAATGAGAAGTTAGAATAGAATTAATGCTGAATGTTCTATCTAGGAAAAAGTAATATTAAATGATGGACATATAAACTATCTAAAAAGAAAAAAAGCTTCATCCATCTTATTAATAAATGCATTTTCCTGGGGCCCGTGGGTGGCTCAGTCGGTTAAGCATCTGCCTTCAGCTCAGGTCATGATCCCAGGGTCCTGGGATCAAGCCCTGCGTCGGGCTCCCTGCTCAGCGGGGAATCTGCCTCTCCCTCTGCCTGCCACTCCCCTACTTGGGCTCTCTCTCTCTGACAAATAAATAAATACAATCTTAAAAAAAAAAAAGAAATGCATTTTCCATAAAAATTCATTTTTTTTAAGTATATAAATTTTGATGTAGTTATTTTGTCCCCCTCATAGACCCAATTGACTGATTAATTTTGTGTTAATAATACCTGTAATAGTAACTCAATCCAGAAGAAATTTTTTATAATTTAGAGCCTTAAGGTCACTGAAAATTTACCCAAAAAAATTACTTTTAGGGGCGCCTGGGTGGCTCAGTCGTTAAGTGTCTGCCTTCAGCTCAGGTCCTGATCCCAGGGTCCTGCGATCGAGCCCCGCATCGGGCTCCCTGCTCTGCGGGAAGCCTGCTTCTCCCTCTCACACTCCCCTTGCTTGTGTTCCCTCTCTCGCTGTGTCTGTCTCTCTGTCAAATAAATAAATAAAAAATCTTAAAAAAAAAAATACTTTTATATACACATACATACACACACAGAGGAATATGCTAAGGTTATTAATAAAAGGTTCTGAACACATATAATATATATAAAATATATATTCCAAACATATACATATATTCCAAACATGTATTTTGTTTATACATATATACATATACATACACATATATACATACACACACACACATATATATATATACTGACAAAAGCCAATGGGGAGATAGAATGGAAATATGAGTTTGAGAAGAAACAATGTAAAATTTCTCATGATTAAAGAATTAGCTGGGGCGCCTGGGTGGCTCAGTTGGTTAAGCGACTGCCTTCGGCTCAGGTCATGATCCTGGAGTCCCGGGATCGAGTCCCGCGTCGGGCTCCCTGCTCAGCAGGGAGCCTGCTTCTCCCTCTAACCCTCCCCTCTCTCATGTACTCTCTCTCTCTCTCTCATTCTCGCTCTCTCAAATAAATAAATAAATCTTTAAAAAAAAAAAGAATAGCTTGCTCGTGTATTTTTTTAAGTGGATGACAGTATTTAATCGTTTATGATATTTAAAATCCATTGGTACATTTAAAAAGGATGTAACAAAATATACGTGGAATAAAGGGGACAAAGGAGACACTTATCCTGATGAGCCGTGAGAAATGTACGGAAGTGTTGAATCACTATATTGTACACCTGACACTAATATACCACCATATGTTAATTACACTTGAATAAAAAAGGAAGATAAAAATGTAACAGATTTATTTTAGAATGTCAGATTTTACAATATGCTAAAAAACATACCGTTGCAACTACAGGTTTGCCCTGTTATCCAAAAGTAGAATGTTCTCATGAAAACTTTCGTAAGCCAAAATGGCATAAAGCAGAGAATTACCATTAATTTATATGGAAATGCTTTCTGAGCATTCCCAGATGCAAAAAATAACCTCTCTTAGGCTTTTCTGATACCTTAGGACACATCTTGCTAACGGATGCACAAAACATATGGAGATAAAACACAGATGCTCACAGATGGCGTTCAAAGCTCTGCCGAGATGCTGAGTGTGGTTCCCAGGGATGGACTCGCGGGGCCACTCTTGCCACCAGGCTGTGCCTTTTTTCATAAAAGCGAAAATCTTCTCTGGATTTCTTTCAGTTAAGCGAAAACAGGTACCAGCATAGGTCTTTCATAAAAGCAGAGTGGTGTAACACAAAATTTTGAAATGCAGAGGATCTGCATTTATACTTTGGGTGAAAATTTTTAGGTGTCAGCTTAAAATGTGCAGGAAAACACAAGTTTTTCAGAATTCATTTAGGGGGCACGTGAGTAAGAATGTTTGGGTACCACCATCCTAAGGAACACTGGCTGAGCCCCAGCTCTAGAGCCTAGCTCTCTAGGCCCAGGCCAGAGAATTCTCTACCTGCTCATTCTCTCTTACCACCCACCCGGTCCTTGGAGGCAGTGGGTCTATTCCATCACCCTCACCTTCAAATGGACTCTCACAAATGCACAGACTCCCACGTAGAATTTGCCATTGTTAAGGTCAACAAAATCTAGGAGTGGGAAAGAGAACCAGTTGAAGAGGATACTGATCCCTGTGCCTCACCCATATCCTGCTGGCAACAAAATACACCTACCCTACATCCTCACCCACAAACTACTCTCATCCGAAATTAGTACCAAAGTAAGGGAAATGAAGAAGTCACTGTTGCCAGGAAACATACCCACATTCTGCTGTGTGATAGAGTGTGCCCAGCCATTGTAACCAAACATCTCATTGGCCAGATTAATTACCCTGTGACCTTCAATGTAACATACCTGGGAAAAGAAATTAAAGAGGAAAAAAAAAAAGCTTATTAAAATTCCCTGCCATACTTAAATGAGAATCAAAATTTACTTAATTTACTCCTTACCAGCTTTTTTGGCAAAACTGCCCTTTAACATTCCAGGGAAATTCTCAGTGAACTTATTTCAAAGATCTTCCAGAAGGAACCAGTTAGAACTAATGTTTTGTCTGGAGGGAGGGACTAGACTCAGAGGGGAAAGATATCCACTCACCTAGCAGTTTCCAAAACTCACAGTTTCCAAAAAAGTACAAGTCTCAGGCTGACATATATTATTGAAGACCAAAAATATACACAGAAGTGAAAATTAGAAGCAAAGGGTAAAAGAAACATTTTTAAAAGACGGTGTAACAATCCCAAGATGGCAGGTATGGAAGTCTCAAGACAACACTTCGGTCGCTTCAGATGACAATGACGGCTGGAACCCATCCCCTCCCAAAGACACTAGGAAACATCTAGCAACGGTGAGCAGGAGACCTTCTGAATCCGTGAAGACCCAGAGAGGGAGCGAGATCCTCTGAGTAGCCAGCTAGAGGGGTACCCACTTTTCAAGCATATCAACTCTCCTACCCTCTGGCCTCCTCCAGCCGTGCGGCTACTGATGTATTCCGGGCCCAGCCTCTGCCTCAGAGCATTCTGGATGGCCTGGTACTCTTCTGCTGTGTACTGATACTGCAATCCAGAGAGGAAAATTAAATTGACATTTCCCCCATTCCTACGTCAGCAAGTCTTCAACTTTTTGGTCTCCAGACCCTTTACACTCTTAAAAAGTATTGAGGACCCTAGGAGCTCTTGTTTACAGGGTTATGTCTACCAATACTAGGTATTAAAACTGAGAAACTTCTAAGGCACACCTTCCATCAGCCGTCAAAGCAGCATCCCCCTAGGCCGTGCGTGCTCTGGAGAGCCCCACTGTTCACTCAGAGAGAATGAAAGGAAAAGGCAAGAAGTATTTTAGTATTATTAAGGAACTCTTCTTGACCTCATGCACTCGGAAGAGGTCTGGTGAACCTCTGGGGGTCACTGGGCCACATTTTGAGAGGCATTGCCCTGGTGTCACCACCCTCCTGACAAAACTTTCTCAAGCCAGAATTGGTAAACTAAAACGTCCCGCCTCAGAGTCTGTATATATGTTTAATGCCCGCAAGGGAGTAGGGGAAATACCTCTTCTCTAATTCAACAATTTTCCATCCTACACGTACATAAATATACTACTACTTGTTTTGACTTTTGTCCCCTTGGTAGTTTTCCCCTTGCCCTATTTAAATGAAATACCTTTGAACCAACAGATCTCTGGTATAGACAAAGATGGAATCGAGCGGACAAAGCAAGAATCTCTTTTATATGCACAGAATATCTCCACAAAGAATATGACACCAGAATCTTTGGAACTGGGTGAAATGCGGATAGGAGTGATGGGGAAAGAGTATAAGCCTTTTCATTCACATATAGTCTACGTTTCATTTTGAATGTTTTACCACGTGAATATGTAATCTATCCAAAAAAATAAACAAAATGTAAATCTAAATGTAATCCCCAGTACTAATGCTAAAGTTCCACAATGCCCTGAGAGTTTATCAGACTCCCAAAAAATGCACCTAACGGAAAACCCACTGACAATAAATAGCTTCCAAGTATATGACGATGCTCTACAAATTACTTTCTCCTACCTTTTCACTTAACCTCATTCTTCCCAGGTATGAAAAACACACAGTTACCTGTCCAAAGCATAATACAGAGTTGCCACCAGCAGAGGAAGGATGGCTGCCACGGCCTCCAAGAACTGCTTCCTCAGCCCCAGACATGTTGATTCCGGGTGACCTCTGTAAAAACAGAAGATTTAAAAAGATCTCAAAGAATGCTAAAAGATAAAAAACAGGAGCCTCTATTCAAAATCAGATTAAATCATCCATATGTAGTATCCTACAAGTCGCTTTATTTACTTAACACTTTATTTGTAAGCACTGCCCCAATCAAGGACTAAGTTCCTCAGTGCTTAGCTACCCTCCAACATGGCATTGAAAATCCTTTAGGGACCACTTATACCCTTCTGTTAAAATTCTTGCTAGGGGGCGCCTGGGTGGCTCAGTTGGTTAAGCGACTGCCTTCGGCTCAGGTCATGATCCTGGAGTCCCAGGATCGAGTCCCGCATCGGGCTCCCTGCTCGGCAGGGAGCCTGCTTCTGCCTCTGACCCTCCCCCCTCTCATGTGCTCTCTCTCTCTCATTCTCTCTCTCTCAAATAAATAAATAAAATCTTTAAAAAAAAAAATTCTTGCTAGGGTGGGGGCGCCTGGCTGGCTGAGTTGGTAGAGCATGCGAACCTTGATCTCAGGGTCATGAGTTCAAGCCCCACGTTGGGCATTGAGCCTACTTAAAAAAACAAACCATGAGGGTGCCTGGGTGGCTCAGTTGGTAAGCGACTGCCTTTGGCTCAGGTCATGATCCTGGAGTCCCGGGATCGAGTCCCGCATCGGGCTCCCTGCTCCTCAGGGAGTCTGCTTCTCCCTCTCCCGCTCCCCCCTCTTGTGCTCTTTCTCTCTCTCACTCTCTCTCTCAAATAAATAATAAATAAAATCTTTAAAAAAAAAAAACCATGAAATGTTTGCTAGGGTGATGGTGTTATTAAAGGTGATTTTTATAATTAGAATGTATTATAATTGCAGTATTTATCATTGAAAAAGTCAAAATTACAAAGACACTCCAAGGGAGATTAATCAAGCAACTGATTACTACTACTATATGAACAACATGATCCTGGCCTCAGTGGGGTCAAAAAGGGAAGTATAAGCCAGGGGCACCTGGGTGGCTCAGTCAGTTAAGTGTCTATCTTCAGCCCAGGTCATGATCTCGGGGTCCTGAGATCAAGCCCCATATCGGGCTCTCTGCTCAGTGCAGAGTCTGCTTTTCCCCTCTCCCTCTGCTCATGCTCTCTTTCTCTCTCAAAGAAATAAATAAAATATATGTGTTTTTTAAAAAAGGTAAAAGTCATAATAACTGACCGACTTTCCAGGAGCTAACAAGCTGGCTGGTAGGGGAAGACTAACAGGGAAGTTAAAGAGCAAGAGAGAGCAGTGTGGACAGCCCTAACATTCAGGAGGAATAAAGCGTTAGACCAGTTAGGTCTGTTGCAGCATCATCATCACCTGGGAACTTACTAGAAATGCAAACCCTCAGGTCCTGCCCTAGACCTCCTGGATCAGAAACTAGAGCGGAGGCCCAGGAGTTAGTGCTTGCCCAAGGCACCAGGTGATTCTGACACAAGCTCAAGTTGGGGAGCCAATGCATTAGACTGAGACTATGCAAATGTATAGTCCATTAGAAAACAGAATTACCCTCAGAAGCACCTGCAACTGGCTGACCCACTACCTGACTGACCCCTACACCCGTCTCAGAGCAGATGGATTCAATATTGTGCCCCAGCCTTTCTGTCCCTTTCCAGCGTTCAAGATGTGGAAGCGAGGACATGGTGGGTCCTCCGGTGTGAAATTCCGGATTTCCCTGGGTCTTCCCGTAGGAGCCGTGACCAACTGTGCTGACAGCACAGGAGCCAAAAATCTGTAGATGATCTCGGCGAAGGGGATCAGGGATGGAACCGGCTTCCTGCTGCTGGTGGGGGTGACATGATGATGGCCAGAGTGAAGAAAGGCAAACCAAGTTCAGAAAGAAGGTATATCCGGCAGGTAACTGGACAACGCAAGTCCTACTGGAGAAAAGCCGGTGTGTGTCCCTGTTTCGAAGGCAACGTGGGGGTCACAGTGAACAGTAAAGGCGAACTCAAAGGTGCTGCGGTCACCGGACCAGTTGCAAAGGAGTGTGCACGCGTGTGGCCCAGGGTTGCAGCCGCGGCGGGCAGCACTGCAGGATTCTTTGGTGTGTTCAAAAAAATTTTTAATTATGTGCTCCCAATGTTTGTCTTCCTATTCTTTTCTACCGGTCACCTTTCTTTTTTTTTTTTTTTAAGATTTTATTTATTTATTTGACAGAGAGAGACACAGCGAGAGAGGGAACACAAGCAGGGGGAGCGGGAGAGGGAGAAGCAGGCCCTCCGCTGAGCAGGGAGCCCGATGCGGGGCTGGATCCCAGGACCCTGGGATCACGACCTGAGCCGAAGGCAGGCGCTTAATGACTGAGCCACCCAGGCGCCCTACAGGTCACCTTTCTTGACACCACCCAACCCTTGCCTCCTTTTGTAAAATGAAATCACTCGGTGCAAACTGGCTGTGGGTGTGTGCAAAATAAAGATAAACAGTACTTGGCAAAAAAAAAAAAAAAAAAAGTTGTGCCTCAGCAAACTTGCTTGCTGTAGTCTTCAGGTTATTTGCTGACAGTAAAACTACAGAGCTAGGAATGTTAGGTGGCGGGACGCTCCCATGGCGCCGCAATACAGCGTTTAGGGGCTCAAGTTCCAAACGTCAGTTTCTGGCTATACACCCACTAGGTGCTTGACTAAGGGAAAAAAATCACACAATCTCTCTAAAGGATGTTCTCTCATCTAGAAAATGGACAAAGGAATAATACCTGCATTTCCTCCGGGTTCTGTCGAGATTAACATGATACTGCTTGAAAACTGCATTAGAATAGGACACACAAGAAGTCCTAAAAGGTTAGCTATTGCTAAGTGCGTCTTAACTTTCTTATGTACAGTACGATGAAAATGCAAAAGATTATTTAAATGATCATAAAACACTACATTTCAACTAAGAATGATCAATTATTTCTAATCTGGCACTGAAAAAGTAGAAGGGTGGCCTACACTAGGTTAATTAATTGTCTAAAATGGTTATAACAGGGGCGCCTGGCTGGCTCAGTCAGAAGAGCATGCGACTCTTGATCTTGGGGTCGTGAGTTCAAGCCCCATGTTGGGGGTAGAGAGTATTTAAATAAATAAATAAACTTAAAAAAATAAAACAAAAAATTGTTAAAATAGAATCAATATATTATATACCTGAAACTAATATTATACCCGTATGTTAACTAACTGGAATTTAAATAAAAACTTTTAAAAAAAGAAACACTTCACATATGCTGGGATAGCTACAATAAAAAAGACAGAGAATAACCAATGTTAGTTGAGGATGTGGAGAAATTGGAACACACACATAAACACACACACATACACACACACAATCTATTAAAACAGGTTGGGTGCCTGGCTGGCTCAGCTGATAGAGCACTAGACTCTTGATCTCGGGTTGTGAGTTCAAGTCCCACGTTGGGCACAGAGATTACTTTTAAAAAAAAAACAACCAACAGGGGCACCTGGGTGGCTCAGTCATTAAGCATCTGCCTTCGGCTCAGGTCATGATCCCAGGGTCCTGCGATCAGGCCCTGCATTGGGCTCCCTGCTCGGCGGGAAGCCTGCTTCTCCCTCTCCCACTCCCCCTGCTTGTGTTCCTTTCTCGCTGTGTCTCTCTCTGTCAAATAAATAAATAAAATCTTAAAAAAAAAAAAAACCAACAATTTAAAATTGTTACAACAGGAAATAGTGGAATAAGGATCATATTTAGAATGCAATTGTAAATGCCAGAAAAAATAGTTAAAAGAACAAAGTGGGGAGAGTGCCTGGGTGGCTCAGTCAGTTAAGCGTCTGCCTCAACTCAGGTCCTGATACCAAGTCCCACATCAGGCTCCCTGCTCATCCAGGAGTCTGCTTCTCCTCTACCCTTCCCCCTCCCCCCAGGTGGCTCAGTTGGTTGTGTCCGACTCTTGATCTCAGCTCAGCTCTTGATCTCAGAGTCATGAGTTCAAGTCCCTACTTAAAAAGAAAGAAAAGAATGCAGCGGATCTGTCTCCGACGGGTGGGACTGGGGTGGAGAATAGTGTAGCAGGGATCTTTTTCCAAATAAAACTTTTAGCACTATTTCACTTTCCAATATGTACATGTATTATTTTAATAAAAATTAGAATAAAAAATTTAAAGACCTGTTATATAAAGCAGAGGTCAGCAAACCTTTTCTTTAAAGTGCCAGATAGTAAATATCTTAGGTTTTGCAGGCTACGTGGTCTCTGTCACAACTATACAACTTGGGCCTCTGAGCCAAAGATAATATGTAAACAAATGGGTGTGGTTGTGTCCCAATAAAACTTTATCACAAAAAGAGGTGGCAGATTTGGGCCACAGGCCATAGTGTGCCAACCCCTGCTATAAAGCATGCTTTGAACGTTACAGTCAGACGTGGTTCAATATCCCACCCCACCTAATACATAATACATTATTTAAGTTGGGCAATTACTTAAACTTTCTGTGCTCCAATTTCCTCATCTGTAAAAGGGAATATTAGTAAAATCAACCTCATAAATGTGTCGTATTAAAATGATGTGATAAGGGGCACTGGGTGGCTCAGTTGGTTGGGCGTCTGCCTTTGGCTCAGGTCATGATCCCAGGGTCCTGGGATCGAGCCCTGCATCGGGCTCCCTGCTCAGCGGGGTGTCTGCTTCTCCCTCTCCCTCTGCTCCTCCCCCCGCTCGCGCTCGCTCACTCACTCTCTTTCTCAAATAAATAAAATCTTTAAAAAATAAAATAAAATTATGTGATAATAACAGTATCCAGCAAAAATCATCACTGGGTACTAAAAAGTTGTGGGGGAGACTCACAAAGTTTCAAATGAGCACTTGTTCACTTATTTGTTAAAAATAAAAGGGTATACACTGGGACTGTACCTAATGCCACTGAGTTGCACACTTAAAAATGGTTAAAATGGTTAAAAATTTAAGTTATGTATATTTTGCCACAATAAAAAAAAGGAGGGAGAATAACAACACAATCAAGGTTTATATCTCCTTCAGGCAGGATCTAACCCAGTCTGGGGCCCTGCCCATCCC